TTTATAACTTATTAAATCTATAACAACCTTAATTCTCTAGGCGAATAATAAAAAATCAACCATTAATACCAAATCATATATCAAAAGTGGCCAAAGATTTTATTCTTAAACTATTAATGAAAAATCCAAAACGTCGTCTAGGTGCAAAAGGTTTAGAAGATGTTAAACGTCATCCATTTTTTGGACCGGATATTGTTTGGGATGCAATTGCACAAAAACGTAATCCAGCACCTATTAAACCAAAGATTAAAGATGAAATGGATACAAGTAATTTTGCTGATGAGTTCACTCGTTTACCATTAACCGATTCACCGGGTTTGGCACCTCCAACAGAAAGTCTTTTTCGAGTAAATTAAAATTTATTTTTCTAAAATATAAATAAATTTATGAATATATTATTAGGGATATTCATTTATATCACCGACTGTTCTTTTTGGTCCAGAGAATGCAGTTAATGGAGATTTATATAATCTACTTCGTTTAACAAATCATCAAAGACCTGATCCATCACAACTTCATCGATTAATTAAAGTTGATATATTTTGTATTTTATTATTATTGATTTTAAATTTATTGTTTTTTTCTTTTAGACAAGTCCCTTTTTTCAAAATTATGAATTAATTGATCGTGAAGGTTTTCTCGGTGAAGGAAGTTTTTCAATTTGTCGGTAAGTATTTTCATTTTATTATTGATAATATTTCGTTTTTTGTTTATTTGAAATTTAGTCGTTGTCGAAATCGTCGAACACAAGAAGAATTTGCTGTTAAAATAGTTTCTCTGAGACAAGAAGTTGATACACAAAATGAAATCGAACTTTTACGTTTATGCCAAGGTCATGCTAATATTGTTAAAATACATGAAGTATTTACTGATGAGGTTCGTACTGATATAAAATCTTATGATAAGACTAGGAAAAGTTTCCGAGAGATAAGAATGTCTAGATTCAAGAGCTTCGACTATAACTTATATTCAATGTTACTTATGGCCAAAATATTTTGTTTTGATAATAAATATCTTTTTAGCTTCATACATATATCATCATGGAATTATTAACAGGAGGTGAATTATTTTATCGAATCCGTACTCAAGCATCATTTTCTGAAAAAGAAGCCAGTCAATTAATGAAAAAACTTGTATCTGCTGTTAATTTTATGCATAGCAATGATTTATGCCATCGAGATCTTAAACCAGAAGTAAGACGACAAATCTAGTTTTATCTTCGTTCTCTAAATAAATAATTTTTCTCTCTGTAGAATTTATTATTCTCTTCTCCAAATCCAAATGCTGAAATAAAAATTATCGATTTTGGTTTTGCTAAAAAACGTACTAAGCATCAACCAATGACAACACCGTGTGGAACACTTTTGTAAGAAGATTTTGAAATTAATATTTTTATCAATAATATTTTCTTTTTAAAACTATCTTGTAGATATACTGCTCCTGAAGTACTTCGTGCTGCAACATCATTTAAAGATTCTCAATCATCATCTTTATCCACATCATCTTCATCATCATCAACAAGTACAACAGTTGCTCTTGTACCTTCGACAACAACAAATTCAAATGTGATAGCTTATGGTTATGATGAATCATGTGATTTATGGTCACTTGGAGTTATTTTATATACAATGTTAAGTGGAGAAGTTCCATTTAATTCTATAACTGCACATCGAACAGCTGAAGATATTGTTGAAGATATTACACGTTCAAAATTATCCTACGATTCTCCTGCATGGAAAAATGTTTCACAAGCAGCAAAAAGTCTTGTTAAAGGTTTATTAACTGTTGATCCAACAAAACGTTTAACAATTAAAGATTTAACAAGAAATGCTTGGCTACGTAGTTCAAGTACATCGACAGCACTCGAACATCCACAACTCTTACTAACACCTAGTATACTTTCTCAAGCATCTCGATCTCTTATTGTATATAATTTCTAAAAAAATTAAATAAATATTTTTATTTAATTTTTATATTTTTTCAAGGTTCGTGCTGTTAATGTAACAATGCGTGCATTTCAAAAAGCCGGTCAATTTCAACTATCATCCGTAAATGATGGACTTCTTGCTCGACGACGTTATACAAAAAAATCTACGGATTCATGTTCATCTACATCAAGTTCAACAACAACATCAACAGCAGCTGTTGTACCAACTTGTATTGCTCCGTCAACATTACCACATACTCGTCGTCTATGTGGTAATGGTGTATGTCGTTGTCGACATGCACCATGTCCGCCAACGAATGATTCATCTTCTTCATCTTCATTTGACTTTAGCGATGAACGACTCTCGCAATTAATCGATCAATATCCATTGACAACGATAACAACAACAACAACGACAACAACATCAACACCACCAAAAAAATATGGAATGACATTAAGATCACGCGTAACTGCTGCTCCAAGTGGTATTACACATGAATTTGCTTCTCCAGCACCACCACCTCCATTACTTGTACCTTCTCTATCTTCTTCTTCGTCTTCCTCTTCAATAGTAGCCGATGTACCGTCTTCAACCGTTATAACCGGTGAAAAACGTCCGCTAACATCACCTATTCATCATTCAGTAGCACCGATCAATAAGAAATTTAGACGATCAGGTACAATAACAATCGATGATTAGATTCTCTAATGATTTATTCTTTTTTTGCATCTTCCTCACATTTTTTTTTCTTCTTCTTCTATGTTTTGAAAACAAACATATATTTCTTTTCTCAATCATCATTATTATTATTATTATTATTATCAACGTCAGTGTTTGTATTGGTTTTTTTCTTCGTTGTTGTTGTTGCTTTTTTTTGGTTGGGAAAAAATCAATCAACTATTGTATGTCCATGTGCTTTTCTTTTTCTCTCCCCCTCTCTCTTTCTGTTTATGTTTTGTCAGCAATCACAATGGATGATGGATTTTGTGAAAAAAAAATCACTGTTTATGCAGACATGATTGATGTTTTTGTTCAAAATACTTTTCTTGATAAACATAACAACTTATAAATATTTGAAACAATATGTTTATCTATTCATTTAAGACAATGATATACGATAGAATGAACTTCATCTTTGAGAATTACCTATAAGGTTATTACGTTCATAAATTATTTCAATAATTAACGTTACAAGTGAAATATGAATAATGAATGTCATACGAGAATATTCTTTATGAAGTTCAATTTTTTGTAAAAAGCGATAGTATTGTTGAATTAAGTGGAATTAGGATGAAAAGAATACATTATTTTATAATATATAAGAATTGTATTAAGTTTCAAGAATATGAAACCAATGTATCATCTTTATAGTTGGTATAATGCTTGTATTTTATTTATACGTTACGAAATACATAAGACGTAGTTTTTATTTCTATTAGATTTGTTTATTTGGTGTACTCTATAGATATCCATTGCGGAATAAATAACAACTATCTAACATATTTTATTGAAAAATAAAGAATACATAGTTTAACGTTTTAACTATACTATCTAAGATACAGCTGAAAAAGAATTATCAATGATGGATTAGGACTATGTAAATGAAGACATATCTATAAGATAAATCAAATATAAGAAGGAGACAATGAATGTCATTATTATCATGATGTGTTTCATATCGCTTTACAGCAGACGTAACAGATTTTTGCATGTAATATGCTATAAAATGTCGAAATAGTAATGATTTATGCGTAAAGATATAATGAAAAGAAAAGAATATTTATATTGTAATATGTTAGTTTAACAATAAATAAATTTTACAATATAATAGTGATGTTCTTGAACAATTTCAATAAGATGTCAATCGCTTGAAATAATATTTATACAAAGAAAGAATAACAAAAGTTTTTTTTTAGAATATAGTTCACATTGAATGTTTAAAAATAATAAAAATTACTCAATTATATCCTCATAATAGTTCATCTAATGTTTACCATTTTCTAAAATTAACATATCAATGACCTTAAACATTTCTGACGTGATTTTAATAATTTAACAAGAGTGCATAGTGATAAAAAAAGCTCCAGATATAATTATATCTCGAATAAGTTATAATTTCAGATCAATATACGAAAAATTATTTCCTCTATATACCGGAAACTTTGATAGAAGATAATACATGAAAGACATGCACTTATTAAGACAATAATGAAAGAGTAATATTTAATGGAGAACTTTCTTTAATAATTAGTATATCATATTATAGAAATTCTCAGTGAGGCAATACTCGATGACTTGTCTGTTTACAAACTGATCTTGATAATAATAAACAAAACAATCCATTTTCGTCAGAATATATAAACTCGCTTTTCTAATATATATATCGATGATATTATCCATTCATGTCAACAAGTCTGACAAACCATAACAAAATATTAAATGCTTTCAACGTTATTATAGATAACTTTACGATTGGTTAGATTTCAGTATACATTTATTGTTCGAATACTAATTCTTGTTTTTTATTAAATATTATTCACCATAGTAAAATTGAAAAACAAAAATATATAGATCAGATACAATTAACTACAAGTAATGCATTTCTGCATACTTTAAATGGTTTACTTTCTTAAGTATTTACATTCAAACTTGATATAAATGTATTGTTTTTTTCTAAAAATCTATTAAACTCGCGTTTAAAAGTTAAACAAGTTAAGTAAACATTTAAAGATCTTTAATAGAAAAGAAACACTTAAAATATTTAATAAATGATTGTTGTTTTCGAAAAGCAATTTTAGGAATTTGTTTATAATAGACATGAATATTGAGATTAGAGATCAAGTAAAAAATGATTTACACTAGAAAAAGTATATTTATTTCGAATAGAATAATATAAATAGAAATTGAAAGTAATTATATCGAATATTACTATTTATAAATGTTGAATACAATAAAAAACATTGATAAATAATTTTATTTTATAGAATATTCTTTTTGTTTATTCTCTACTATAAATAATAAACCATCAATACTGTTGATAGATTAACAAAAAAAAAAGTAAAACAAAGAGAATTATGTAGGACAAAAAAGTAATGAAGATGATGTTAATGCTGAACGTTTTGAATAAGATTTCAAATATTTATCTTCACTTAATTGTAAAACATCTGGACGATCATGTACTTTATAAGTTAAACAACGACGAATAAATAATTTTGCTTCAGTAGATACTAAAGGTCGATTTGGAAATTGAATTTCTTTTGCATTTAAAATTATTTGATTTTCTAATATAGCCGCTTGTGATAAATTATGACCATAAGGTTTTCGTCCATATAAACATTGATAAAAAATACCTAAAATAAATCAATCGATTTAATATAAGTAAAATATATATAAACTTACAGCCCACACTCCAAACATCAACTTTCGATGAAATTTTAGGTGGATTTGGACCCTGCACAAATACTTCTGGTGGTAAATACCAATATGTCCCAGCACCTAGTTAAAAAAATGGCCATCAATTAAATTTCTTTATCTATTTTGTATTTTTTTTACCTTGAGAAGAAAGATCCATTCCATCTTCATCAAATATATCTTGATGCATTTGTTTAGACAAACCAAAATCAGTTATTTTTATTTCTCCACTGTTAGGTCCTGTTCCAAGAAGAACATTACCTGGTTTTAAATCATAATGAATCTAAATAAAAAAAATTGTTTATTTTTATTTCTTAATATAATTATTAAATAATATATATATACCACAGATGGTTTTGCTTCTGTATTAAGATATTTAAGTGCATTAACAATTTGCATTATAATTGAACGTGCTTCTTTTTCTGGAATTGTTTTATTTTGTTTAAGAAAAAAATCTAAATCATTTCCATCACAATATTCCAAAACTGTACAAAATGAATTTGTATCAATTTCAAAAACATCAAATAATTTAACAATACCTAAATAATTATTTACTGTTTTTTTTGTCATTAAATAAAAGAAATCTTACGTTTATGTTCAAGATGTTTATGTATATTATATTCTCTTAATGCATGTTTAATATAATTTGCTTTTTTTTCATCTTTCCATTCTTTATTTAATTGATGAATTTTACAAGCAACATAACATTGTTGATTTAAATCAAATGCACGATGTACTTCACTAAAACCACCTTTACCAATAAGTGTTAATAGTAAATAACGATCATGAAGAATATTATTTTTATTAAATCTTGAATGATCTTCATTATATACAAGTTTTAATTCTCTTATATGAAGATTTCGTTGACGATCAAGTTTTTCTAAATCTTGAATTAAATCTGTTTCTTCACGTTTAAGTGTCAGTTGTCGAAGACGAAGAACTTCATCATATTCATACCAATCATTTAATGTCAATATAGATGATGAAGAATTTGAAATAAATGATGATGAAGATGATGATGATGAACTCCCGCTATCATTCGATGAAAATAAATGAGGACTATCATTTGAATTATCAGAAAATAATTGTGTTTGATGATATGATAAAGTATTCAAAGGACCATTATTTAATGTAACAATAAGTGATGTAGATTTTTGTGGACTAAAATCAAAGAATTACAATTAAATATTTTATTACAAATTTTTTTAAACGACTATGTTTTCTTTACGCAATACTTAAATTTCTTTGTAGAAAAAAAAACGCTATTGCGTAAGATTGTAGTTTCAATTGACCTCATCAAGGTTTTTACAATTATTTATGTCAAATTGTATACTAGATTCTTCTTCTAATTAGAAACTAATTTATATGAAAATATTTATGTCATTGAAGAATCAATATATAAAATTCTTTTTTAATCAAACTTAATAAGCCAAGTTTACCTTGTCAATGTTTTGATAGTTAAATTTTTATTTGTTCGTTTCAATTTTGTTGAAGGTGTATACATTGAATTCATCAATTCATGATAATTGAAATTACTATTATTATTAGAATTTATTTCATCAATACCTGTTGTTGTCATCATTAATTGTTGTTGTAAAAATGATTTCTTTTTTGCTAAAATTTTTCGATCTTTATTCAAATTTTTTTTAGTTAATATTAATTGTTCTTGAGCACGTTTTTTTTCCAAAAAATCATATCCATCATTCCATTGTTCAATAAAGGACATACCTTGTCGTTGTGTTAAAAATTGACCAAGATGTAAACGATTCTCCATAACTTTTTTACGTACTTGTTTTTTTTCAAGTTGAGATTTATCAATAAGTAATGAACGTGTTATTGTTAAACAACGTTTTATTGTTTCAACAGTGGATTCATATTGACATTGTATGTCAGATTTTGAACGACGTAATTCATTTATTTGAGCAATTAGTTCGTCTTGTTCAAGATTATTTTGATGACTAGATGTTAATGAATTTGTTGAATCAGTTTGAATACATTTACTATTATTAATAAGCATCATCACTGAATTATTGGATGGCATCATTGTTGGAAAGAACATGGTAACAGTAGGTGAACGTTTTGCTGGTATTGTAGGTGTAAGAAATAAAGAGGAATCATTGATTGGTTGTTTACGTTTACGAGATTGTGTATTATTTAATGAATTTAACATTAATGATGAATATGATGGAGTGTTTAATGTATGGAATGAATTTTTAATATTCGATTCAGATAATAATGGTTCAAATGATGATGATAATAGTCCCGTTAAAACGATATCTGATGATTTCATTTTTTCATCTCTTTAAAATAAAAAAGTTAAAATTCATATATATGTACATATTATTATTTTAAGAATATATTTTATTGTGATTCTCTAATGACTTCCAAATGCACTTTTAAACACTTTTTTTTCTCTCCGTTGTCAAGTATATGATTATCATGAAGGTTAAGATATCTAAGGACATACTTAGAAAAAGTACTTGCAGATTGTTCTTTTGGTTGCAAATATGTCATTGGTATGAATCTTGTTGGTATATTAAACATTTGACAATTATCTTGATTTTGTTTATAAATACCAGATAAATTTGAGGATGATTTAACTGGCCAAGGAACAAATTGATATTGAGACTCGGGATTAGTCATACCAATGATAATAAACTAAAAATAAAAAGTATACAAGGTCATTATATTCATCAACATTATTACTATTATCAATATATACATGAAAGACTAATGGGTGAGAATATAGAAGAAGATCATATGGAAAAGGAGAGAAAAAAAGAAAGAAAAAGCGTAAAAATCATATGATAGATGTGTGTGTGTCTGTCGCGATGAGACAGAACACAACAAGTAACGGAGAAAAAACGTGAGGGAGAAAAACAATCATAACATCAACACAAGGGCGGCAGCACGTAAACCGGTCTGTAAACACGTATACAAAAAGAGAAACGTCATCATCAATAGGCACAACTGCTGTTTTGATGGGCAAAAAAAGGGGCTAAATAACGAACGAGAAACGTATCGAAAAAAGCAAATGTTAGAAAAAAAGAAAGCAATATGTCTACCTTTGATAGTCACCATGATCATAACGGTTATTTCTTTTCCATTTGCTCAAAGCATTCGAAGTATCATACGATGATGAAATACACAAATGGAATGTATCTCAAATCATCGCATCACCAAGTTAAAAAAACCAAACATGAAAACAAAAACATATATATGCATGTAATCTAAAATATGGACATAGAGATTGTGAGATAAATGTGAAAGAAAACAAAATTTATCAATCATGATCATTATTAAAAGAAAACATATTATCAACAAAAAAACTAGTTTTTCTGTTTTTCTAAATATGTCAAAAACAGACAAATGTCAATTATATATTTATACAAATCTGTTTTGATAAATTAAGAAAAAAAAAACGTATCACAAAAAAAAAGAAAAGAAAAAGGAAAAAGGTAAATTCATATCACCGGACAAGAAAAAGTTGTTGTGGTAAATGCATTGCATAGACCATATTTGAAGATTGAAATATAAACATTTCTATATGTGATGAATAAATAATTTTATCAATATCTATATCATTTTCATTAATCAATGGAATAATAAATTGTCGAATTGGTAATTTTTGTTGATTAAATATATCATAAATATAAATTGAATTTGATTTTATATAAAATAAATAATTTGTACAATGTATTAAAAAACAATTCGATGTTATATCATGTAATTCATAAATTAATTGAAGTGAATTATATGTCCATATACATAAGCGTTTATCTGTTCCAAGACTTATTATATTAGATGAATGACCACAAAAATTTACATCAAGAATGATTGATAATGGATGGGCGTTAGTATTCGATTGTATAAGAGAATCTTTATTCCATAAACATAATGTGCCATTAAAACAACCACTGACAAATATTGTTGAATTATACTAAATAAAACATATATTCAGTATTTATATTATTACCTGGAATCTCAATCTAATTCTATACTGATGAGTTTATATTCTGGTATCTACATTTGAAACTTGGAATCATAGCGAAAAGAAAGATGATAGAGTATCCTCGAACTTCAATTGAATACAATAATAAATAATTAATTCTCTTACGAGGGAATCTTTCGAGATGATAAAAAAGTTTTAAGCTCGAAGTACTTTTATTTTATACCTCCTAGTGAGTAATGAAATACTGTAACATGATTCATCCTCTTAGTAGATAAATGACGTATTTGTTTTATATAAAACTTTCGCATTCATAAGATCTCATTAAGTAAGGGTATTTCATTACTTACTAGGATCTACAAGATAAAAGTATTTCGAGTTCAAAATATTTTTATTATTTCGAAAATTTTCAAAAAATAAAATTGAATCTATTATCTTCGTGCTAAAACTTACTGGATCAATAGCAAGACAATTAACAGGTGCTTGATGTTTATGTAAATTATATAAACATAATCCATTTGATATATCTGTAACTTTTATTGAATAATCATCACTACCAGTAAATACTAAAGATCCATTTGGATCTATTTTACAAACATGTATTGGCCATTGATGTAATCTTTTTATATAAATTTGTCTAATTCTATTATTTATATATTCAAATGTAATTAAATAACCACGACGTGTTATACTTATAATAAATATTGATGATACACGAATAAGATGTGTTATACCACCAAGATCATTCTCACAAGAAATTATATTTTGAGATTTAAAATTATATGAATAAAATTCAATAGAATTATTTGAACAACCTAAAAGAAATGTTTGATCATTTAACATTAATGAGCACCATACATGGCTTAAATTTGTTTCTGATGATGTATAACGTTGTTGATCAGAAATAATTCCACCAGTTTGTAAATTCCATAAACGAATGAAACCATTTGAATACACAACAGTTAAAACAATTCCATTCTCATTTATACATAAAGATTCAATTAATAATGATGATAGCGGAGGTGGAAGCACTGCTGGAAGACTTGGATAATCATTTATTATACACGATTGTGTTCGATTATGATTAGAAGATGATTTAAAATAGAAATAGATTACAGTAAATATTATTAAACCAAATAGAATAATATAGAAAAGTTCCCATATAGCACTAGAAAATCGGTAATCACTTGAATTTGATGTTGGAGAAGATGTCTATGAGAAAAATTAAAATATATAGTCACAAAATACGTAAAGAAACCTTATCTTCTATATTTAAAAGCATGAAAAACTCATATATACATAACACTCGGATATACACGGAAAGAGAATAACTAATAATGGAAAATTTAATCTATGTCATGGAAATGTACTTTTCCCGCTTTTAATTTTATCATCAGTTTAGTATTAACGTATTTACTTTACTGTAAATAGACACAGTATTAATTAAATTGAATACAATCTGCTTGTCTCATTTAACATAAGCAAATTATGAAAAAAATACATAAACTAGAAGAAATATTGTACTTCAAACGCTGACTGTTTAGAGATCGGTAGATTCCATCATTCATACATACACATATATATCGGGTTACTAGAATTCGCCATTGGTGAAAACCTTGAATCCCGATATGTCGACATGAATAAAGAAAAATATCGAAAGAACAAAACCCTTATTAGACAAGCTTAAACCTATGCTTATAAATAAAGTTTATTATTACATTTACAAGGGTTTAATAAGTTGTTAATCCACAGAAAGAAGAGCTTCTCATGTAAAATCTTCTTATAGTTTACATAGGAACAAGGCACTTCGTACAAATTATTTGAACACTTAGTAGAATATCACAATATATAATTACTTTATTTTGAATATGATTTGTTTTTATATTTAATTGTTGATGATCCGAATTAATTATTGGTAAATAAATTGATGGCATGATAGTTAAATAACGATTATCATATGAAATATTATAATAAGAAAATAATGTTGGCCAATGATCAAATGATAAAAGTGTTGGCCATTCAAAATTAACTGATGATATATTATTAATAGTATGTTCTTGTAAAATTTCATTCGACTGATATTGATATGAAAATGATTCAGAACCAAAATGTTCATTAAGCATTTTCTCTGGTATAAAATCTTTAATTTCTTCACGATTAATTTGTACATTTTTATGTAATAAATCAACAATTAAAGATGATTTATAGAAAATTAAAATAAACCATATAAGTATAAATATCATAAAACCTCGTTGTAAAAATCTATAACGAAACCATTGTGATTGTGTTGATTTTCTTGGAATTATATTTGTCATTCTTATTGGTAAAGATTTTTTCGAATTTCTTCTTCTTCCAACTGTAAATCTTCGTATATCAATACTTAAAACTGCTAACCAAAAATGAATTTGCATAAAAAAATCAATTAATATTCCAATTAATGCTAATAAACAAAATTCTCGTACTGTTGGTACATATGTTAAATAACCAATAAGAACAATAATTAATTCATAAAATAAATGTTTTGATATTGTCCATGATTCTGAACGAAGACCATATGCAACACGTTCACGTATATCATCAAATTGTTTTTGAGCTTGTAATGATGTTACGGATCGAGTTAAAACAACTAAATTTTCTAGACCAATAAATATAACAAGATATGGAAAGATTTCACCACCATCAAGACGTGGTGTTGTATGAAAAAGTGATGATATAGCTAAGGAAATTAATAATGAAGCAACGATTTGAACAGTTGCTGCTAATGCAAGACCCCATTTTGATTTAACACATTCAAATTGATCTTAAGTTAAAATAATGAGATCACTATTTTAAAAAAATAGTTTTAACTTACTAACTGAATAATAAATATAAAGAAAAACAACAATATAAATAAGAATAAGTGGTAAATAATAAACAAATGATTTTCGAGAGAAATAAATATGAATAATATCATCTTGTTGATCATCTAAAGCAAATAGTCGATTTTTTAATTCTTGTCGATATTCAGTTGAAGTATTCATAAATAGAATTGTAATTGCATATGTCATTGATTTATTTAATGAAATATAATCTTGTGGAATACCAAATATAATATCTCGATAAGGTTTTGATAATGATAATATGGAGTCAAGAATTTCTTGTTCATTACTAATGATATTTGAAATATCATTTGACCAAAGATTCAGTGGTGAAAGAAAAAGACAACCAAACGAAGGTAAATATGATAACATTTCTTGAGTCTTTATTGGTTCACTAACTCTCAAACAATTATTATCAAATTGAGGATCAGCAAAAAGACGTTCACGTATCTGACGCACTTGTAAAAGACATGATGAACGTGATGTTAAAGATGAACATCGAACAATAATATGTTGTACATAAGCAAGTGGATAACCGGAATACTTAAAAAAAATTCATATAGAAAATCTAAATGAATAATTATTATTCTTACCCAAAGTGGTTTATCAGGTCGTTTATCATGAAATTGATCATTTTGATTTAATTCTAAACGAGCTTGAACTGGATGAAATCTTTTTGCTGATTCCGTAAATATTTCAAGTGAATTACGTAATGGTGATACATTTGTCGTTATTTGAAATCTATTAAATTTATAATTGATTTTGAATAGTAAAAAAGAAACAGGAAGTAGATCAAATCTATTTTATTACTTACAAACTTAAAAGAAATATTCCAATACAAATTAATATAATATAAAGTGAATTATCGGCAACAAAAAATCCATATGTATATGATAAATCAAGTACACGATTCTATTAATAATCATTTAATTAAATTAAATAATTAAAATATATACATTTACTTTAAATTGAATATAAAATTTTATTATCAAAGAATACATTTACATAATACATAATCATTGACAAAAGGTTAGATAGGTGCACTGTAAGTACTTTGATAAAAAAAAAAAGATTTTTTTTCATATTAAAAAAAAAATAAAAGAGGACTTTCATTAACAAATATCTTCATTGGTCAATATAGACTACCAATGTTTGTCATTCTTTTTAAATTTTAATATCTTTCTTCTTCTTTTTACTTTTTTAAATTTATTATCATCATGACGAGTAATATTACTCCTAATGCTGGTCCATCACTTTTCGGAGGAAAGAGTAAATTAATAGCTGTAATTGGTGATGAAGTGAGTTAAATGTATGATTATCTTATGATTTATTTTTTCGATTTATTTAAAGGATACTGTAACTGGTTTTTTACTTGGTGGTATTGGTGAAATCAATGCTAAAACACGTAAACCAAATTTTTTAATTGTCGATAAAAGTGTGTCTTCACAACGAACGAAAATTTATTTTTATTTTTATAATTTTTTTGTTACTAGATACAAAAGTATCAGATATTGATGAAACATTTAAAAGTTTTCTTCTACGTGATGATATTGGCATTATACTTATTAGTCAACATGTAAAATAATTTTTTATTTTATTTCATTATTTTAATTTAAAATTTATTTTAAAGATTGCTGAATTAATTCGTGCAACAGTTGATGGTCATGATAAGCCTGTACCTGCAATATTAGAAATTCCAAGTAAAGAACATCCATATGATCCTAGTAAAGATTCAATATTAAGACGTGCTCGTGTAAGTTTGTCTTCTTCATAGAGAAAATTGAAAGATTTTGTTTCTTTTGTGTAATTTTTAGGGAATGTTCAGTGCAGAGGATTTCAAATAAAACAATTATTTATTTTATTTCTTCTATATTCTTATTAAGATAAACAATATATTTCGCTATATAAATTTATTTTTTTATTTCTTATCAGACGAAGGTGGAAATAGCAAATTTTCATCGAAATTAGTTGAGACTTTCATTAGTTCTTTTGCTTCATTTACAACGTTATTTTTAGAATATATGATAAATACTTGAATGACGTCATTTTGACTTTTATCCTACGGTAAAGGGATCCCGAAAGATGCGTACGACGAAACTTGAGGATTCGTTTTGTCGTGCGCATCTTTCGTATACTGCATCAAACATATGAAGAACAAATTTCTACCTTATAAAATGCACTATTCGAGAAACAATGATCAGTCAGTTTTGCTAATTTATCTAACGGGCGGCGCCTACCTGGCTGTTCGATTCGCACACACGAAAAAAGAAACCTGTGTAAAACACTGGTCAGTTTTTTACTATATATAATGATACTTCATTATCAAAACAGTATAAGAGATTTTATTACCAAGTAAGATATGTCTTTAGATTATGACAAAGGTCGTTATATTCTCTATAAAAGTATAAAACAGATTTTTTTTCTTATCAAGAAGTAACTTTTTATTTGAATATCGTTAGACACTATTTATTACATAAATTATTCTTTATCACCATGTTTGACTAGAAAAAGAAAACGTATTTGTTCCTATGTTTATGAAATCAGACTAGTTTTGTTTTGTGTACGATTGACATATTTTACAAATGAAATAAGTTATTGAAAACTTTATTTAATAATTTCAAATCAATAAAAAAAAGACAAATTATTGAAAGCCACGTTTGCAATAAATACTATTTTTGCCACAAATCATTTCGAGTAATTCATCTTGTTTATAAAAACGTCGTTTAGATAATTTTTTTAAAAATCTTCCATCAACCATTGTTATTTGTAGAAGTAATAAACTAATCAATATGACGATAAGAATAAATCGAAACATGTTAATATTGAACTTATTGTTTTTCGTTATTTGATAATCAAATGAATATTATCGTTGACAAACTAGAACTATTATTTGAATCAAAAATATATATTACAAGACAAATTTATTCAAGATTACATATACCTGATTTTTTTCTGTTGTCGATTATGATTAGTTTCATTTTCGTTGTTCGTCATATGAAGTAATAAAGATAAGAAGCTTATGAAATAATCATAGAAAATTTATAAATCATGACACATGTCATAAAAAAAGATTGAAAAGGTAAGAACAAATTCAATGTATGTATTAATAGTCAATTATTTATAGAAAACTTTCGTGTATCTATATTATATGAAATTGATCTGAAATACTCAATAATAAATGAGCTATGGATAATTTATTTATTTATTTAGAAATGAAAGAAAAAATAATAATAATATACAAATCAAAATGATTGATTATTTAGAAAAAATTCTTGATAGTAAACTACTAGAAGTTCTATCAAATTATTTTTAGATATCTATTCTTTGTATTGATCATGTATCATTATATAAACAATATCATATTAGGTTATCAAGTACAAATTATATTCTTTCTGATATCGATAGAAAGAAATTACGTCGAGAAACTTGTTGTTGATGGAATAGACAATACATTTTAATAGATAATACACTCAATAATCTTATCTATAACGTCTTCTTCGTGATGATATCATCTATGTTTTCTTGTACAATCCATATAAGTAATGTTAATGGGTATACTATAGTTATGTGCATATAATCTTACTAAGCATTTGTTCTATATTAGTTTAAGAAAAACATATAGCAAACGCTGGTGGAGATGCAGAAAAACCAGTAGGATAATGATATTAATGAACGAACAAAAGGAACTGAAATGAATTTATTTACTACAAATGAAAACAAAGTACTGATGGTGATATTCTAGTGGAGGCACTGGTACGTTCATTTTTCCTAACTTATTCGATTATTTATGCATGACACTCGAAATTAGAGTAATTGTATAATTTTTGAAATCTTTCATTTTCGTTTTATAGGTGTTGGCAGTACGTCAGATCTACATGTAAATGTTCTTATACAACTTGCAATGATTGGATTTGTTTGTCATTCATCATCGTCGTTTTCTTCGACTAATTGAATATTGCTCATTTTATTTTAAATTCATATCTTCTGGAAAATGTACTCACGATATGTCATACATACAGGAAATAATAATGAATCGTTGTTCAGTTAAATTTCTCAATTAAAATGTTACTGAGATAGTGATATGATTATAGTTTATCTTGAAGATCTTTTTATAAAATATCGTAATATTTATCTATATGGTTTTAAACCTACTATATGATTAATCTAACGTATCATCGTATGAAATAAAAATGAATGATTTCAATTCTTTTTGATTCAATAGAAAAAAATATTTTTAGTATATTCTTGTAGCTATTGTATCTGGTTTAGATTTTAAAAATAAGGATATTATGTGTCGATTATTAAATCAAGTTTTTCGTATTGAAATATATTATTCATCGTCAAAATTACATTTTTAGTAAAAAGATGTAGTTGCTATTGAAGCATAAACTATAACTGAATTTCTTGATCAAATTATTATTTATTGACAACAAGAATGTTCTACTAGCATGTCGAATAATCCGTGATTTGCTCGATTTACTTCTTTTACAATGAAATCTTTTGTATTGTTCATTGAGTTGATTGATTACATTCGGATCAAAATATTAGTTTCAATCCTAAACTAACAAATTTAAAATATGACACGCCCATAACAAGTCTTAGCGAAAATATTTAGTATAATCATATATGCATATGATAGTATGAAAACTCTATATATTACAGTGAATGTTTACTTAAGTATTAAGGTCTTGATCAATTCAAAAACGAACTAAAATTCGTTTTCTTTGGTGTATTTATGGGGTTTGATGAAACTCGTTGTCTTTGTTATTGAATTATTGGTCGTAAAGAGCGAACATTCTTAATATGTACGTGGTGCAAGAAAAAACCTTTATTATCATCATCATCTGATTGAAGATCTTCATCTCTAGTTCTAATGAATCTTTTGTTTTATTTTGATAACAGTAACATCATTAAAGACCATAGATCTAGTGTCTTAATATATTGTATAAAGTTTTCATATTATTATATGTATACATCGTAATTCGTTATGAACATGTTATATTGTAAATTTGTCTCGTCTAGTGAAGGACAATCTATGAATTGATAAAGAAATTGAAGAAATACCTCTTAGTATTGTATTTGTTGAAAATCAAACAGCAGAAAATTTTAGCGTATGGTTATTCTATATTTCAATGACACATAACAATATTTTGCATGTATATTGAAAAGAAATCGATAGAACTATTTCACATGATGTTGAATTTAATAATGAATAATTATATGTGAAACATAACGTCTCTATTCACTTCCTTGTACACATGAATATACTATCGATACAGAGCATCAACTATTGGAATTCGATTGTACTCGTTGGTTAAGTGATCTTAATACAAGACTTCAATCAAACTTAGCTCGTCCATTTGCTATCGAACTACATAATTACATTAGTCAACATTCTGCATTATCAGAATGTAAAAACAATGTTGTAATTAGTTTTGAATTAATAATTGAATAAAAAATAGTTTCGGAAGTTCACATTACAATAAGATCAAAATATGATCTGTTAGTAGATATTTCTAAACCCAACATTTTTGTCTAGTTTCATAAACATACCATAGTTATTATAGAACTTATTCACATGTTACAAATGAATTTTCGGTTATATGAAGTAAATATAACTATTATTATCAAACAATTTCGTTTAACAATTCTTTTTTATATCAATAATTATACTTAAAAAATATACTATTATAGTCATTCGTTGAGTTTTATTTTATATGAATGTTAATAAATACTTTCCAGTATTGACAGTTTACATTTGATTATCACATGTTTTGATAATAATAGAAAACAATATGTAAATACATACACGTTAATCGATTTGATCTTGTACACGTGTGCTATTTCTGTATATTGTCATATACGATTATTGAGTAGAACTTTTCACTTGTATCTCTTGACCTTCATATATTATGATAAGTTGATTAAAAAAAGAGAAAAATGGAAATTTATTTTGTTGCTTTAGGAAAAAAACAGAGTCAACAGATAACATTATGATTAGATGTACATTTTATTTGAGTTATTTTGTTTGCTACAAAAATGTATTTTCCCTTAAGTCATGTTTTGACTCGGTTAATCATATTTCTGACAAAATAGCAATAAAAATGATTTTGTAATTGCATAAAAACTTCTAAACTCTTTATGTATTCATGAACAAAATAAGTAAACAACTATGTCTAACATAGATTGATCACGATCGATATTTTCATGAAGAAGAAGAAGAAGAAGAAAAGGAAGAAGCCATAAGGAAAACTATTTCTAATATAAGTACTAATCTTTCCTGGTCTTGTTTTTGATCTTATCTTATTCGACATGTCGGAAGAAAAAATGTCGATTTTTTTCTAAGAACAAAAATAGTACTTGATATAATTTATTTAAAACTATCTTTTACAGACTATAATAATAGTCAGTTCCTTGTATTGATACATCAGTTCAAAAATTCGATATTTCAAGTTTTGTGTAGAATCATGTTGTGAATAAATGAGATAATCAGTTAAGAATATATTTTGTTCAATCAATTTTTCCTTCTGAATACAATACCATCTGCAATTATATTCCGATTACTCATTCTCTTAAATAATCGTATGAGTTATTTAAAATAGGAAAATATTTTTTATACTAACTGTGCATATAGTTTGTTTTATGTCTTATATTATTAGCGTCTTCTAACGCCATGACAGACAAAATCGACAGACATACAAGAAAAAAAAGGACTCACCACGCACACACAAGCATATAAAGAAGAAGAAGAAGAAGAAAAAAAAATAATGTGAACAAAAGAAATTGATGACGATCATCCACACGTTCATCCATCCGATTTATCGATGTGACAAGACGGGTGAGTGCGCATTCGAACAAAATAGATGAGAAAAAAAAAGAAAGAAAAATGAGACCAAAAAATAAAACGAGACATCATAATGATTTATTTCGACGTCATCATTGTTACGAATTCTAGAAGTATAATAATAGTAATTATTTTTTCGAAGTTTATTTCCTTACCCTCGTAATTGACTTGTCCATCTGGAAAATAATAAGAAAAAGAAAAAAAGATACTATTTAGAATCTCTAAAAACCAAAAGAAGAATATCAAAATCTTACCTCCATCAATATCTGCTTCTCGAATCATTTCATCGACTTCTTCATCAGTGAGTTTTTCACCCAAATTAGTCATAACATGACTAATAATTATAAAAAAAATAAATAAATAGAAGAACTTTTTTTATTGTTGATTTTACCGAAGTTCAGCAGCTGATATAAATCCATTTCCATCTTTATCAAACACGCGGAATGCTTCGCGAATTTCTTCTTCTGAATCTGTATCTTTCATTTTACGTGCCATCATTGTTAAAAATTCCGGAAAATCAATTGTGCCATTACCTTAAATATTGACGAATTATATTTTTGAAACTAAATCTATGAAAATAATTTACCATCAGCATCAACTTCATTAATCATATCTTGTAATTCAGCTTCTGTTGGATTTTGACCAAGACTACGCATAACTGTACCCAATTCTTTAGTGGTAATTGTTCCATCTCCATCTTTGTCAAATAGAGAAAAAGCTTCTTTAAATTCAGCTATCTGCTCTTCAGTTAATTGATCAGCCTTAAAAGACATAAAAAATAAATATAATTGATCATTTACATTTAAAATGAAATCAATCCATATATTATTATCTCAAGTGACTATTTATTTTTGTTTCGTGATCTTTTTCTATCATGAATTAGCTATATAATACTTATGATCTTGTAAATTATCATTGAAAAAACATTAAATTCGACAGTATTCCCTTAAGATTAGCATATTAATGTCACTATTATTGAAAAGATATCTCAATCAATTAAATTGTTGTCGTTTTAATTTAACTAATTCTTATTGTACGAACGATAATAATCTTTAATGTCATGTTGTCAACAATGTATTGCTTGCTGACAATTTGATGAGTATTCTCTGTTGTAAATGAGAGAAAGCACTAGTATGGAGTTTAAAAATAGAATTGTGTTGATAGTATCTATCTTGAAGTAGTAAATTATAACAATGAAAGAACTCGGGAATATCAATATATTTCTCATGTTTCATCTCTATGATAGATTATTTAACAAATGAAAGAATGTCATTAAATGATTGAATAATAAACTTGTCAAAAAAACATAACAATTGCAAAGACGAACAAGATGTATTCTTATTTTTTTTTTCTGTAATATCTCCGCTCGTTCGATGTTGTTGATGATGCTATACTCGTAGCAGCGACAACAAGAATCGGATGTGCTATGCCGTGTGTTGTTTCTAGGCTTCTCTCTCTCTATCCACACACACACACACACATTCCAGTATAATCAATTAAGATGCGCGAGCGCAAACGGCGCACCATCTTTCATGCGAAAGAAAAAGAAGAAGAAGAAGAACAAGAACAAGAAGCGAGAGTAGTTTCAACCTCTTTTGCCTGTGTGTCACAATCAGTTGGCGCCCAAAAAATCGCCTTGACACACGCGAACACGCGATGATATGCTCGTAATACCAGAGAAAAAAAAGGAAGAAAACCTGAGAGCATTTTTTTTATCTATTGATTTAATGATTAAAATAACGATAAATACTATGACAATTTTCTACAACATGAAAATGATCTCTTTTTTTCTTTCCTGGAAAAAAAATTTTTATTTTTTTTGCAGAGCTTCAAGATTTTTTTTTCAATAGGAAACATATTATGTCTTCGCTAATGATAACACACACACATATAAAAAAAAATACTATTTACTAGTTAGACAGATTTTGTCATCATGAATTCTAAATAATCGTTTTTATTTATATAACGAACGTATCACATATCTTCATGTGACATAATACTCTTTTCCTTTCTTTTTTTGACAGGTAGATAAATAATGAACTATTTAATCAAAAAAATATATAAGTTGATTTAACCGTTGACAAGTTTTGAATACATGCTTTTTTTTCTCTCTCTTTCTCTCACACCCACCTATTCGTAAAATGAGTAATTAGATATTTTTATTAATATATACATCCATTTTTTCCTTATTTATGAATTTATTAAAAGTAAACTCAGTCATATATATATAAAGATTAGAATAATTTTCATAGTAAAATATAAAACAAAAACAAATTGAATTGCTTTACTATTTTTATATTTTAAAACAAAAAGAAGAAAAGAAACGTATTTCCGTTTTTCTTTTATTTCTCAGTCTACTCACCATTATGTTTTGAATGGAATTGAATTTGTCCTAGATTTCCACTTGTATGAATTTGTTAATGTCGACCTGTACACCAGGTTCGATTTGATGATTGTTCGTCGTTCTTGTCTCTTCTAGTCAACACCGGGGTTCGTGCGTACGCGTGTATGTGTGTATGTTTGTATGAGTGGTTGCGCGCGCGATGCCGTTCAGTCGTAGATAGAGAGAGAGATCGAGACAAAGAGAGAGAGGGAAAGTACCAAAACGAGAGAAAGAGAGAAGAATAGCTCGACTAGGCACGGACGTGATGCACGGCAACACAAAGCAATAGTAGAGCAATAACTTATCTTCCTTGTGGTACGATGGCAGCAAGAGTATTTTCTTTGATGATGACAACGACAATGACGATTCTTATTTCTTGTAATATAGAATAGAGAAAGAAAAAAAAAGAGATTTTTTTGAAAAAAAAGGGTAAAAAAAAACAGAGCACGTTGTTAGATCCAACTAGAAAAAAAAATAAAAATTGATTTTCTCTTTTTTTTCCCTTTCGGCTCGTAGAAGAAGAGGTATGTTCATTATTCTCCTCTTTTTTTGCATTCTTCTTCCGGCGCCGAGCGATGCTACAGCAACTAAAAGAATATAATGTCGTTTTCAGGCTACAAGTAGCGACGATGCGATGCAACGTTGATTGTCGTCTCGTAGAGTGGTAGCAAAAAAGAAGCAAAAGAAGACTGTTGAGATGTAACAGGGGAACGACTCTTCGCACAATAATACACAGAATTGTATGAATCGTCTTTCGTTCTTCATATTTTTTTCTCCTGTTTGACAACGCGTCGTTCTCTATTCTTAGTATTTCTCTCTCTCTCGCTCTCTGTTTGTTCTATCTTTGTCGTCGTCGAAACAGAGAGAGAAAAAGAACCTCATTACAGTACACAATGCCTTGACGACAATTTTATATATATATATATATCTATATATATATGTGTGTGTGTGTGTTCCGTTTCCCGGGAACGATGATGTGTTGTCCCTCCTACTTACATTCATCGAATCTCTTATTGATTTACATATTGTCCATCTCTTTCTCCGTACTAACACTACCTTATCACTTTGCGTGTTCAAACTTGATTGTGTCGTGTTTTTTGGGGACAAAGCAGGAGAAAAAAAAGATGTTAATTCATTCTTGGCTCAAGAGACTCACTTATTAAAGTAGACGAACGAATGAACGAGAAAGCAATCTTACAAAAAATAAAAAAGAAAAAGAAAGCTCAACTAGATGAATAACTAAGAAAATATATGTTCATGTAGTAAGAAAAAAAAAGGAATACTTGATTATATGACAACGATAACAACACGATAGTTAACAATGAAATGAAGAAAAAATGTCTTTTAGACTCATGCAAATAAAAATGACGAATTAATGCTTGCTTTCCTAGATAAAAAATGATCAACTCATTTTTCTTATTAATCAACCAGGAAATACGAAGTGTAAAGATGAAAAAAGAGAAAGAACACTTCAATTGGCATAACACAAAAAAGAAGAAGACATATCATTGCTATTATCTTTATTCTATATTCAATCCACCAATTGAATTTATTTATATATAGATAGTTTTCTAAACTTAGTTGAAAAAAATAGTATTTCTAAATCTGACAATCTTTCTTGTAAAAAGCTTTTCTTGTTTCTTTTTTTCATCTTCTTCTTCTCCTTCTTCTCTGGTAAAGACATATAAGAAACTTCTTTTCTATCACATAATCACTCAAATATGATCTTTCCGAGGAAGAAGAAAAAAAAGAAAAGAACCATCTTATAAAGAATATATTTATATATATATATTTTGAACGCAAATTGTCAGTCTTTCTTGTCTATTAGCATCCAAGAATTAACCAGCGATCAATTATAGATTTCCTGGTTAGTTCCAGTGTATGCCTTCATTTTTTCTGCTTTCTTGCTTTTTGATGAAACGTTCATTCTCTTGCGCGCGCTTTTTTTTGCTCAATCTCAAGGGTAATAAGACATTGTTGTTATTGTTGTTCGAACCACGCTATGGCATGACAATTTTTTGACATTCGTTATGTATGCTTTCTCGTTTAGAATGCTTGATGTTAGAAATGTATTGGGACTTCTATATTATTTGAGAAAAAGAGACGACATTGATGATGACGATAAAAAAAATATAGAAGAGAAATCGACGAGAACAATGAGAGTACATTTACAACGATGATGATCAATCATATTTATTCCGGAATAAAACGCAAATGAATATTCAGACTAGATATAAATTGCATATCCGGATATGAACTCAAATTTCATTTATTTTTTTTGTTCCAGACATAGTTTTTATCATTAAAAAAAAATGATTATTTACATTCGATGAAAAAAATATTTCGACTATTACTATTAATGTATATTAAGTAAATAATTACAATTGATTATAAATGAATATGAATTATTTGAGATATTTAATTGACAATTAATCACTAAAACATGAAAAACAAAATTTTCTTGAAATAATTTTCTTCAAATGACATCTATTAATAATTTATTATACATCGAAATAAATTATCGATGTGATCAAGTATTACAAAATTTCATTTCTTTTTGACGTTATCTCACATCGATGTGTAAGAAAAAGAAAAAGACCTTGAAAAAATTTTTTATCATCGAGGAAAACTAATTATTTATTGATTTTCTTTCAGCAAAAATTAAAGTCAATAAAATAACTATTGATCATTATGAAATCTCGAAGTGTTATACAAATAAATATTTTAAACTCGTTAGATGAGTTCATCCGTTTCAATATTGCAATAGGAAACATTTATTAGACAAAAAATTGATATTATCATAGTAAACATCCAACTTGTTTTTCTTCTACTTTACACAAACACAATTTAATTGCTATGAGCAAATTCCATCCTAATGACTGTTGATTTTTCAAGGACAACTCAAGTATAATAAGGTATGAAAGTAAATTTTTTTTTTACTGAAATCTCTTTCTAATAGAACAAAAATAGTTTCTATATATATATTATTTTTTTTAAAAGTAGCTCTTAGAGTTTTTCTAAACATGTTTAATAATCTGTCGATAATGTGCTTTCAAATTCTTCTTTAAGTTCAAATCTTGTTCATGTGAAAAAAAAAGATCGAATAATAATAATAAATGGGTCAAAATAACCTTGAAAAATTTTCACACTCTAAAACCATTATATTTATTAACTATGTTATAAGCATTCATATAGAAAATATTTTAACAATATATTTTCTATGCAAATGGAATCGAACGTGAGATATGGCAGAAGAGAATAATAATAATAATAATAATAATGATTAGTTTTTACAATCGAATGCGTACTTAAAACAGCTTAATTTCATTCGTTTGATATATATATATATATAAAATGTACTTGGAATATGTCAAACTATCTTAATAAAAGCTTTTTAAACATTGCTATATATATATACTAAAAATTCAATTAAATATTTTTTTAGATGAAGAAAATGTGTGAAGGATAAAAGCTAAGAGAAATTCTATTTGAAATTTAGTTTTCGATATATCCATAAATTAACAAGTAGTTATTTAGTATACATATACAATATATTGATGATTTTGTATATCATTTTTTTTCTAGTAGTAATAGGTAAAAGCTGTTCTTCGTTGTTATTATCATCTTTATATCTATGAATAACTTCAAATGAATTATGATTGACAGTTTTATAAGAGAAATTATGTCATAATCTTATATATCATCTAATTCGGAATGACAATTCACAGAAATGTCCTTAGACTTTGTTATATCAGAAGATGAGATGAAGTTTCTAATTCATTTCAATCGTTATATCATATTTTACAATTATACTAATGAAGAATGGTTAATCTAAAAATTGCAATTAAATACATTAATGAATTAAGAAAATATTCATATTTGAGATTAATATCCAATGAAATTGTTCAGTGAATATGTAGCTGTTTGAAAAAAAATATGATTATTGTATTTATGTATTCATCATATTAGCATTACAATTAAACTCATGAAATAATTCGAAAATTATTGATGTATCTAAATGAACATGGAATTGCTTCGAAAAATAAATTCGCAAAAAATTGTTGAAGTATTTTAAAGATACTGAAGTACAATCGGTTGAATATGAGTTTACTTTCGCTATATGCCTATTTAAATTTCTTAAGTCTTTTCTCATTGTATTTTATTTGAAATTGCTAACAAAGAGAAAGGTGAATGGAGATCCAGTTGCTTGATTTTTTTCTGATCTATAATATCTCATGAATCCTTACTTGTGTGTTTCGTTTTGTTTTTATTCTTTATCTTTGAAAATTATTTTTAGTATTTCTGATTTCGAATATCATCACATCATATAAATTCATTCATTGAATATCTCTTACCATGAAATGTTATTTTTTTATGATAAAAAGAAAAATGTTTTATCATCATATCAAAGTATTTTATTTCGTTTCGTTTTATAAATAATTGAAGAAATATTTTTCCCTCATACAAAAAGGCACGATTAATTTCATAAAACAGGAATAAAGATGTTTAATCCAGTTATTATTGTAGCTTATTATGCTGCATGGTCGATTTATTCTCGATCATATTTTGTAACTGATATTCCCGGTGATAAAATAACGCATATTAATTATGCATTTGCTAATATTGGTTCTGATGGACGAATTGCTTTAGGTGATCCATGGGCTGATGTTGAAAAAGCTTTTCCAGATGATACATGGGATCAACCATTACGTGGAAATTTTAATCAATTAATTAAACTTAAACAAAAATATTCACATATTCACACATTAATTTCTATCGGTGGATGGGTAAATTTTATATCTTTTTTTAACCCTCCTAATCATATGTATATATATATTTAGACATGGTCAGGAAAATTTTCTGATATAGCTGTTAGCAGTGAAAGTCGTAATAAATTTGCTCAATCATGTGTTGAATTTATTCGAAAATATAGTTTTGATGGAGTTGATATTGATTGGTAAATAAATTGAAATTTGTAATGAATAAAAGTAATCTATCTATTTGTAGGGAATATCCTGTTTCTGGTGGTCTACCAGGAAATATTCATCGACCAGAAGATAAACAAAATTATGTACTTTTACTTAAAGAACTTCGACAAGAATTAGATAAAGCTGGTCAAGCCGATTCAAAAACATATTTATTAACTGTTGCGTAAGATAAAATAAATTGTGAAGAACACAAAAATCTATTTCATTTATTATATATTGATAAATATAGAACAGGAGCAGGTACTGAACGTATAGCTGATATGGATGTAGCTGGTATGTCTACTTATCTTGATTGGATTAATGTAATGACATATGATTTTCATGGTATATTCTATTTTTATAAAAACTTTATATGTATAATCATATTTTTAAGCTGCAGGTGGTTGGGAATCAAAAACTGGTCATAATGCTCCATTATTTAAAAATGGTGATGAAACAACAGCAGATGTTGCACCATCATTTATCAAATCAAAATATAATTGTCATGAAGCTATTCAAGGTTATATTGCAGCTGGTACACCTCGTTCAAAATTAATTATGGGTTTAGGATTATATGGACGTGGTTGGCAAGGTAAATTTCATTTTTTTTTTATAATAAATTAATTATTAATTTTGTCTTATACATAGGAGTATCTGGTAAAGAACAAAATGGATTTTCTCAATCTGCTTCTAGTCAACCACCAGTAGGTACATGGGAAAATGGAGTTTTTGATTATGATCATATTAAAAAAAGTTATTTACCAACATATACACGTTACTGGGATGATCAATCGAAAGTACCTTTTCTATATAATTCAACAACAACTATATGGATTAGTTATGATGATGTTCAATCAATTGATATTAAGAGTGATTATATAAAACGAGAAAAATTAGCTGGTGCTATGTTTTGGGAATTAAGTAGTGATCGTAATTGTGACTTGGTTGGTGCTACATTTAAAGCCTTACATAATCATATGGTACCTTCAGCAGATTCAAATCCACCAAATGATACAATTTCATCAACTGCTGAAACAACACTAACTAGTTCTACTTCTGCGGATCAACCATCAACGGCAACAGTTGATAGTATTTATCCTCTTTGGGCAATACAAAATCACTACAAAATTGGTGATCAAGTTATGTATAAGAAGAGAGTGTATCAATGTATACAATCTCATAAATCACTTTCACGTTTTGTGCCGTCTAGTACTTATGCACTTTGGCGACATGTTTAAACTTTCAGTAAATTTAATTTTTTTGTCACTTTAATTAATGTGTATCATTAATTCTCTTCTCTTTATTCAATAAATAATATATATATATATATCAATCAATTTTTAATATTCCCTGAAAGCTAATGACCTCGAATTAAAATCAATTAACAATTAAGAATATATTTTATTTAATTATTATCTTTTCTCTAGAATAGATATTTATAGAATATATACGAATAAACTAGACAATTGTAAAGACAAAAAATATACAGAAAGAAAAAAAAACTAGTGAAATCAATCGATGAAGAATCTTTGTGTATTTTTACATGCGAAATCGTCTAAAAGAATAGAATTAAGCAATGAAATAGATTAAAAACAAAAATATATATATATATGAACATACTTGGGTGGTACAGCTGGTCCCTGGCGAGACGAGGGTGATGATTGCATCGGTATCTAAAAGAATTTTTGATAAGAAATTGTTGTTTTAGGAATTACTAATAATACCTCTTGAAGAATACGTTCTTCACTTTGACTTCGTTTACGTGTTGATAAGGGATTTTGATAAGTATTGCTAATAGTAATAATAGAATATTTTACTTAATTAATAAAACAAAATTTTCTTACTCATGTATTGGTGTATTAGCATTGCTTGCAGCCATTGATCGGATAATATTTAATTTATCATCATGATTTCGTTCAATTTCACGCATTTGTATTTCTTTATTTTTTAATTCATTAAACTAAAATAAAAAAAAGAAACGATTATACTTGTTCGTTTTCTTATTTTTTAATTTCTAATTTACATATTGTTGTTCAAGTTCATTAATTTTAATTTTTAATTTATTTTCATAATCAATTTTATCTTTTCGTCGTTCAGCTTTTAATGATTTAATATCATTATTTTTATCTTCAACTTGAGATTTTAATGTTTTATTTTCACGTTCAATTTGATTTGTTGTTTTATAAAAATCATTTTGAGATTTTTCTAATAATTTAATACGTGTTTGTAAATGACGAATTGTTTTATTTTGTTGTTCATTTTCTTTTTGTAAATCATCATGATCAGATATTGTTGTATCATAATCAGATGCTAATTCAAATGTAAATTTACGTAAATAATCTTGTTGTTCATGAATTAACTAGATAATATATATAGATAAAATTAGGAAAAAAAACAAAAATGTTTTGATTTTTACCATATTAAGTCGATGTCGTTCATCAACACGTCGTTGAAGATGTTCTTGAAGTGTTAAAATGGCTTCATCATCATCGGCTCCATTTAGTAGAGAATACTCAAGTGATGGAAATGGAGCAATTAAAGCTTGTGCACTGAAATAGAAAGATATATTTACTCATGTAACTATGTACCTCCTAACGAGCTAAGATTATCCAGTCAAACACTACTGAACGTTGATAACTTATCTTCCATCATGTGTTGACTTACTTGAATTCAATAAAGAGAACGGGTGCTGATGGCTGCGGTTGATTATCAATTTCGCGTAAAGCACCATTGGTACGAGCTGTTTTTGGTGGAACTGGAGGCGGTGGAGGTAAGGCACGTGGTACCAAAACATCTTTCGTTAATTCACCAAATTTCAATGCATGCTGTAAATAAAAAAAAAGATTCAAGTATTTAATAAAATAATGTATAGAATTTTACTTGAATTTCTTCATATCCATCAACAGTTGGATTAACACAAAGAATCATTCTTATACGACCTTCACCATCAAAATAACTTTTGAAAAATGAAGTTAATTTAGACTGACGATATGGTACCATCTAAATATTTAATTATCAATATCGATATAGAAATAAATAAAAATATATTTACCTTGCTAACACCTTGTGCTTGATTTTCACGTAAAGTCTCAAAACATTGTCGAAGAACCATTAATGATGAATTAATATTACCTACACAAAATTTTATTTTTTTAATAAAATATCTAAATATCAAATCTTTTACTTACTCGCTTCTTTGACTCGTTCACCAACAGTCTTCGCTCGATTTGCACGTTCACTTCCGGCTAGATCAACTAAATGAATTGTGCTAGTCATAAGATCATCTTTGGTCTATTACAAAAATATTTTAAATAAAAACACAATATATATATAGACATAAATCATACAAGTGATGCCAATGGAATATCATTATGATATTGAACAAGTCGCATTGAAAGTACACTATGAGATCGACTTGATTCTGTATTTAATTGTGTATGCGCAATACGACGACGTTTTAAACCCATATTAAGTAATTCAATAGCTTCTTCACTTGAACGTACTTCAATTTCTTTAACATCTTTTATATAAGGTCGACCACGATTATCTTCACGTAATTGTTTCGATTGTGGTGCTCTAGACAAAAATAAACAGTTAAATAAATAGTCCGTAAATGTCTTTATCTATTAGTCTTACTTATTAAGAATATCATCATCGAATAAATCATAAATATAATTATTATAAATTTCAACAAATGTAACAAAAACAAAATAAGAACAATTTTCATTTAATTGTGGATTCCATAATGATGTCGTATCTAATGTGCGAGTAACTGGTGCTTCTACTGGTACTCTACAAAAATAAATTTTATTATTAATTTTGTTTTTTTGAATGAAAAAATGTTCAACTAACTTGGCACGTTGATTATTATTTGTTCGTCCCATTTGAATTTCTTTTCGTTGTCGTTCAAGTAAAATATCAGCTTCACTTTGAATATCATAACCATTTTGACGATCAGAACGAAGAAGCTGCAAAAAACAGAAAAAAAAACAATTTCTAATAAACAAATTCAAAAATAAAACTTACATATTTCTTTCCAAGATATGATCCAACTGAATTAAAAATTACATCAAATGAACGTGGAATTAAACCTGGATTATTCAATGGGCCCATCATTGTATAAGTTTTTCCCGAACCAGTTATACCATATGTAAACAATACACCTAAATAAATCATTTAATAAAACATTTTTTTTTGTATTTCAAATTAAAAACAAATCCTACTATTTTTTCCTAGAATAAGATCATCAAGAAGAGGTATGGCTAATTCTTTAAAAGCAGCTGACTGTGAAACATCATCCGTAAGAATATGAGTGAATTCATAATGAGACTAAAAAGAATACAAAATATAAATTAAATGAAATTTTATATAAACACACGTACTTCACGAATCTGACCATTTTTGACATTCTAAAATATAATTATGAAATAAGTGAAATTTACGTTAAGAATGTTTTACCTCCGATGAAAAAAGAGTAAGTTCAGTTGAACTTGAAACTTTAACAGATGATGTTGAATTATCTGTTTCTTGATCATTATTATTATCTTTCGGTGGTCGTAAACGACAGAAAACCTTTAGAATGGCAAAAAAATATTGATTATTTTCTTTGAAAAATAATAAAACTTTACTTCAACTGGGCAACCACCACCATTAGCAACTAAATCTCGCGAACCAAGTTGTGTTTTTTTCATTGGAGTTCGTAAAGCCATATGTTAGTCAAATGACTTTATATAGACAAAAACAAATATTTTAAACACTGAATCAATTGAACTCAATACCACTGACAATTAAACACAGAAGAACATATGTATTGGTCAATTCATACAAAGACAAAAATTCCATTCATCTATCCCAATTATACTCTATCATGTAAATTTTAATATTAACAAATTCTCAGAGAAAATATATTTAAAAACATTAATAAATGTATTAAATTTTAAAGAATTGAACTATTATATTTATTTCAATAATAGATGTCGCACTCAAATAAATTCAAAATATATCACAGAAAAAGTTAACTACAACTACATAAAACATTTATTTTGTATCTTCAGGCTATAAAAATTAAGTAACAATTTTTGTTTGTTCAAGTCGATGTTGCGAGTAGAATAATGTAATTTTTTCTAATACAGAAGACATATGTGAAGCATGTTCCAGCATTTCATTGAACACCTATAACATAATCTTGAGATACAAAAGAAAAAGAAAGCAAGAAAGATAATTACTTGATGTTCGAAAAGTATTTCCGACGCATCAGTCGGATTGACAGCTAATGAATAAAGAAACTGTGTATTATTCGGAACTGCACGAAGAGCAAACTAAAATCAATCATGAATAGAAAATATTTAATAGAAATAGAAAATCTACGAACCGAAAAAATACTTCTAGCTAACATTCCATGATATTGTTTTAATGATTGATCATAACCTTTCCCAACGGCATCTGCAAGAGTTTTATCACCCATACCAAATTCATGTAAGAAACTTGATATAAATTCAAATGCACTAAAGTAAGTAGTGTAAAATTTATTTTGAATACATAGAAGTAAAATAATACCGTTTCAACCAAAGTAAAGCATCGGTTGCGGAATTTCTTGCAGTTGTTGTTTGAGATTCAATTTCATCATTGATAATTGCAAATAATGTTTGAAATTTCATTGGATTTTCATTGATTTTTTTTCGTAATTTCTTTAAAATACAAATAATATAAAATCTCAATGATAAGATTATTGTTTCACTTACAGTGATATTACCATTGACATCTGATTTCATTGGAATAAATATCGGACTATTAAATTTATCTAAATATATATCTTTGAAAATAAATATACATGTGTAATGATATAAAACTGACCCACAAGTGAGAAATAATCTTCACAAGTTTTAAGAAATAATTCTGCTGGAAATTCTTCAAAAGATAAATTATTAAATACTGAAAATCTAAACATAATCGAAATATGATTTGTACAATATAAGATAACAAATGAATTTACTTGTGTGCAAGTTGAGAAAAAAATGTTTCATACACAATGATATTTGATTCATTATTATCTCTAAATCATATTTTTATAAAAAATTCATTTCATTAAAATAATATAATATTCATCTTACATATCACATAAAATTTGTTTATCAGAATTATCTAATTCTGTTGTAGATACTATCATATCATCGAGATCATTTATAACAGTAATAGGTGAATTAGGTAAATCAAAATAAAGAAGAAAACTATTGTAATAATTATTTTTTAATGTAATATTCTTATCATTTGATAATGGAATAAATAAATCATAATTATTTTTCAATATTAATCGTGTTGTATTCATAATAAATTTTTAAAAAAGAAATTCAATTGTTATGTCTCGAGTTTTTATTGATATAAATAATAATGGAATATTAGTGCTTGTATTGCATCGAGACCATCTGTTGAAAAGAAATATATAAACGAAGTGTATATATATATATAGATTTTTTTCTTTCTTGTTTTTTTATAATGCAAATATTCTCATTCGTTCTGTATGTATAAGAACATGAAAGAGAAAGCGAAAGAGTAACGTCCAAAATTGAAAGGGCAGAGGTGTGATAACAAATGTAAATAGAAACTTTGGTAAATTCGTTTTTTTTGTATAGAATTATTCTTATTTAATGATTAATTTTTATCAAATTAATACGTATTGAAAATGTATATAGAAATAACTTATATTCAATATTTTATTGTGTTTCTAATACAAAATGATACTGTTTGTTGAATATATTTAGTTGATAAACTTTTGAAAAAATCTGTATTAAAATCGGATAGTGTGTCAACACTTTGACCTGAATAGTGGGGTAGTTCATTTTATGTCAAATTTTTATCGCAATGAGTAAATATTTGTAGACAAAGGACATTATTATTCTACAAAAGAATGATTCATAGAACTGATAAGATCGAAATAATAAAATAAAATTTGTTAATGTAAACAAATAAATCAGAGAATTTTAATGAGTAATAATGATTGCAAGGTCATCATGTACATGAAGAAATTTATACCTATCAATTTTTTCTTATATTTGATATGCAATTCTTGAAAGTAAAAATAGAACTAACGAATATTATCTTGTCAAATATATACAGGGTGACCCTAAAGTTACTTTATCGTATAAAATATTGCATATTTCTCTTGCGATTCGTGCGACAAGGTTGATTTTTTTACCGGTTATAGAGGCATGTTCACTTTGACCTAGACTGAGTTAGAAAGGACCTCTACGGAATACTAATATTGTTCCTAACAGAAAAAATTGATGTACAACTGAGAAAAACTCGTCTATAAAGATAAAACGTAAACAATTAAATGAACTTTTGTTCATCAAGTTTTATTAGTCTCGTATTGTTCTGTAATGGTGCAGGTTGGTAATTAACATGACTGGAGTTTTTCTTTCTCAGTGTCTGTCTCAGTCAATCGGTAAAAAAAATCAGCCTTGTCGCACGAATCGCAAGAGACAGATGTAATTTTTTGTACAGTAAAGTGACTTTTGGGCCATTCTGAACATATACATAATCATATTTGTATGTGCTATGAATCAATCAACTTTGTTAATACTTTGTTTTTTATTTTATTAGAAATAAAGATTGTATTAAGTTTGAAAATAATCTGTGATCATTTTCATATATTACCATTACCTTGAAGTATTTATTGAAAATTTAATTCTTGACATATTGTTTGAAACAGAAAGTGCTGACATCATGAAATTTTTCTGTTTTATTGGTCATAGTTATACTTACCAATAATAAAACAAAAATTTATCTCGTACAATTCAAAATTTTCTTCTTTCGCTATTAAATTATTCTTTTTGAAAATTTATTTCATTTAATGAAAATATTTTCTTCTTCCAGATGGAAGATTTATCAAAACAATCATACTGGAATGAACGTTTCTTAGTAGAAGATTCATTTGAATGGTTTGGTGATTGTTCACGTCTTTATCCTATATTAGATATTTATTTAAAATCTAAACCTTCACTTGTTTTACTTCATCTTGGTTGTGGTTCATCATCATTAGCAGAAGAAATGTACGATAGAAAGTATTGTCATATGATTATCAATGTTGATTATTCATATAATATTCTTGATAAACGTCGATCAATGAATAAAAATGTTTATTTAATTGACTGGCTTACTTTAGATATTCGTACAATACCATTATGTTTAAATTCTTTTGATACAATTATTGAAAAAGGTACATTAGATGTATTTTTTGTTGGACATGAACATCATTTATGGAATCCATCCGAGGAATTAAAAGATAAAATTGATTTAATATTAACACAAATTAGTCAATGTCTTCAATCCGATCATGGACGATTTATTTCTATATCATTTCAACAACCACATTTTCGTCGTCCATTTTTAGCTAAACAGAAATATCAATGGTCAATACAAGTACATTCAGTTTCAGATGGAAATGAATCTGTGGAATATTTTGTTTATGTAATGACTAAAGGTGAACAAATGAATGAAGAAGATCAATTATTAGAACAAGGAAAATCTACAAAATGGTACTGGATTAATAAAACGGACAATTCTATTGAACCATCAAAATATTCTATTGACGATGAGAATGATCAATATCTATCAAATATTGATCTGATAGATAATGAATAATATGACCTTGTAGATCTGTTATTGTTTTATGAATTCTTGTTATGTTTTTGTTTAAAATAAATATACAAAAAGAAAAACATGAATTATATTTTATTGAAAAATGTTCCACAAACAGCATCAATATTTGAAAATCAAATATAAAGATAAATTCGAGGATTACTGGATATCATCTAGTGTTGATGATATTAGATATTTCATACTTTTTTTAGTTAACACATGTAATCATTCAAAAAATTTGTTTTTGGCTATTAGTTTTTTTATGATATTTTCATTTTCATATAATTCAATAAGAAATACATAGTTATAACAAATTTATCATACACAACAAGACATATCTTACTTGTAGTTATATTCTTAATTTTGATAAATAATAAATTTAAATAACTTCAGTTAGTTTTAACTTATGCATATCAAGGGTTTTTTATATAAATGGCTTGAAAGGAAAAAACTTTGTTCAGTACTGTTTGCGTAGAACGTAAGATTTGATTAAACAATATTTGATCAAATTCAAAGTATCCCTTTTCGTTTTGTTTTTGTAGAACTTTGTAATGGATATGATCAGATGGCTTCACAGTTACTATCAAAATATTTTTTCCTGATTTTGAAGAATTAATTAAGTTCTATGATTTTGTATTGTATGTACACATACAAAGGGGATTTTTGATATTTAAATCATTTCATTTTCTGGAAGTCTGAATACTGCTGCCTAAAATAGACTTTAAACAAAAAATTTATGTTCAACAACCATTTAGATCTTTCAATTACTTATTATCTTAAGATCTTTGTTTACAAAAGTAGAAATATACTCTCGATATTTGTCATTAGGAAGCAAACGTATCTTTTGTTTCTCTTCATATTAGCTATTAACATTACTATCTTACCGATAAGATATTCTTTTAATTTCATACTTTTGTATCTACACCCGACTAATCTTTGTCTGTCTACGACTATCAGCTAATTTAGTCGTTTCTTTACTTGAAGTAAAATAATCAACTTCAGTTTGTATTGCCTTGCTGACTTTAAAATGAATTTAGAGTACAAAATATTTATTTGGCATAACAAAAAGGAGAAAAAAAAAACATTATTTAAATGTTGATGAAGATGTATCATCAGTTATTTTTTTAAACGTTTGTATAACACTTCATTCTGCAGTTTATAAAAATCCCTTTGACCAATTGCTAAATCCACATGTAGTTGTTCGATTTTAACTTTTTGATTAGAATAAGATATTAATTCTTCTCGATTTAAGATGAGAAGTAATTGATCCTCATTCGACGATATCTGAAAAAAACTATTAATAAAAATTAATGGATTTGATAGAGAAAAGATCCCATGTCAGCCCGTGCGCGCATCGGGCGTCTCGGACATCGTGCATGTAAGTGTGCACAGTGCTACGTACGTGCACTTTGGCACACGGACTGACATGATATAATTATATAAAAACAACTTACGTTATTAGTTGTAGCTATTTCTGTTTGATCAACAGGTATTTCATTACTAGATTCGATAATTTTGCACATTTTTTTCTTAAAAGAAAGGAAGTATTGATCGAATATATATATACCCAGGGCGATGATTCCGAACGCCGTTTCAGGTAGGAAACGGCTAAAAAAACGGCTGAATCGTGCAGGAAACGGTCGTGAACGAATATCGTTTTTCGCCGTTTAACACCGTAATCTGTATGCCCAGATTTGTATAAGTGATCTTGCCGAAACGGAAACGGCGCCGTGTCAGGTCGTATCCGGTGAATAACGATGAACCGTATCCATACCGTTTTTTAGCCGTTTCATGCTTGAAACGCGGCGCTTTTTGTCATTTTATACATGACTACCCAGGCCCATCAAAATGGAGCCGTTTAAGATCCGAAATCGGTCCATAAATGGTGCAATAACGAAATCTTTAAAGCCGTATACGGTTAAAATACGAACTCTTTTCGGTCCGTATGATCTGAAGAGACAGCAACTTTCTATTACCATCTCCCACTCCTTCCCTACCTCACTCCTGTCTGTCGTCCTAGTGTAACTAAATACTTACCATTTAATTTATTGATATAGATAATCTAAAAATAAAGACAAGAATCTAAATAAATAAAAATACTTACCGTTCGATTTATCGTTTATTATATTAATAAACAATATAAACTATTTATATAGCTCATAAAGATCATTTTCTGAAGTTAAAATACTTACCTTTATAATTTATTGCAGTATGGATTTAATTTTTCATAGATGGCCCTATCCATAATGGTATTTAGCTAACCAATTGTTTCGACTGTTACCAAATCATTTTTCATTTTATCATTGAGCCTTAATATAAAAAGTAAATAACAACTAATACATTATCTAATATAGTATATAGACTAATCGATGAAAGCGTTAGAGAAAAAAAGGTACAAAACGATCCATAAACGGTAATCCCTTGCGGCTGCCGTTTCCGATGAGGCGGAATAGGGCTTGATAACGGCGAAAAATGATGCCCTTTACGGCTACCATGTCCGATGGAGTGGAACCGATTAAAGGAAACGACTGCCGTTTTTCATCGTTTTCAAACCGTTTTACGATTCACCGTAAACTATGGCCTCAAGGCGACCGTATTTCGTTGTTTTTTACCATTTGAGGCCGTTTACGACACCGTATTCTTTCACCTAGGTCGAGATCGAGCTCGATGAGCTCTACCAATTTCATTCCTTATTTATCATTTTTGAGTAATCACTTTAGAGAATCAAGATATGTATTCACAAAATTTTATTATTCACTTTATTTAACAAGTAACGCTCGTCTTGAGACTAGCGCAGTTCTTCCTCGTAGAAACGACGTGTCTTTACGACCAGTGAACTATTTATTCGTGCAGTTTCAAAAAATCGAACATCAGATTCGTGTTTCTCGACTCCCAAAACCCTTCGATCAATCCTTATAAAAAATATTCCTGTTATTTCTTCACTTGATTTTTCGGGCAATCAGTGAAGTGCGGACACACAAGCAAGCAATTTATCTCTGCTAGACTCTTCTCTACGAGAAAGAGAATATATCAAATAATATATAATTGAATTAATTTTACTATTCGTACTTACAATCGTTCTATCTATACAATAAACTTTTCACACGTAATACATAAAAACAAAATCATTGTAAAAAATAATTCAATACAAACATCTTATTTAAAGATGAAATTTAAAATAAGCTAATAAATGTCTTTTTTATTAAAAGTTATATTAAAATATTATATTTATATAATATTTGTTTGAATTCTACTATATGAATTTTCTAAATAAATATAAATCTTAGATAAAATATATAATTAGAATCATTTCATAGTATTTATGAATAATATTCTTGCCTAATTAAAATTAAACTTGATAATTATTTAAGAAGTTTATTATCAGGAAATAGATCTATAATAATTTAATCAGCAAATTCAATTAGAAAAATCTGCTTTCGATCTATTCGAAAATAAAACCAAATTTCAACTGACAATAAATGAAGAAAATAATAGTGATAATCATTGTATTATTAACAAACTTTGTCTTACCTCATTACATTAATTCCTTTATTTTTATTTTTCATAAAGAAATCTTTAGAATATTTTACAATTCAAACCATTAATAAATCTGTAAGTATATTTGTTTATTTGTGATTTATCGATTATATTATTTGTTTTTATTCATTAATAAATAAAAACAAAAGAGAAGGTAGTCTTTGTATAATGATATTTTATTTAATTATTTTCTTATTACTCAAAATTGAATAAACTTATAATACATTCATCACCAATAGGAAAATTCCTTACTCAAAAGTAAAAAATTATTTACACCGGTTTTTTATCAAAGCTTTCGAATGTCGGTAATATTATTAAATATTCATATCTAAACCTAATACATCTTTTTGTTTGACCTCACCACTTACATGTATTAATTGCTCAGTATGTATAAACTAAATAAGAAAATATTTATTTTCCAACTATTATTTCGTAAGAAGATGATTGTTTATTAAAATTATCGAATTATTTTTGATTGTTGAGTAATGAATAAATCTTTAGAATTTAACACTTTCTACCTATTCTACAAATAAAATAAATATTAAAAAAATTATTTTTCATTTATATTAAAAAGAATACGAAAATAATCTTTGTTTATACTTTTATTTTCTCTTTTTTTACTCTTCTATTTTCTCTCATTGTTCGATGTTAACAAAACTATTTTATTCAATATATTTATAAATATATGTATATAAATAACGATCAGCTCAACGGATCAAGATTGTCGGCACGAGTTAATATGTGAGTATCGACATCATCTTACATCCACATCCTCAAGATAGTTTAATTCTATAAATGTTACATGGATCTGATGCATGTAGATTTTTTAACACTTTCAATTTCAATCTTTTTTTATTCACTAAATAAATATTCCAAATTAATATGAAGTAAAAAGATTAGAGAATAAATGATAAATATTCTAAGGAATATAAAAAAATCTTTCATGAAGTGAGATGTTTAGTTCTATTAAAGAAATATTTTTTGAGTTTTTCTAATGTTGTTAGATGAAAATGAAGAAGTTTATCGATGAACAAAATATTTGTAGGAAATATCCAATATATCTAGTGATATACATATTGGTATATTCCCTCTGATCATGTTGGAACATTCCCTGTATTCTTCTATCATATATATACATGGTTCTTTCCCTTCTTTTCACCTAGGTATGGGATCATTCCCTATCGTGATCCTATATATATGTACACGCACACATACATAGATGTGTCGTATATCTCCTGTTCTCTTCTTCTTGTTCTCTCTATCGTTCTTGTTCTTATTATTCTACAATAAAGATTGAACCTACGGTTCTATACAAATTTACAATATTATTAGTATAAAATGCATATCTGTAAGTAATTATATTATTTATACAAAACAAAATATATTGGAAATATCTGTAGTATATATTAATCGTTTGATATTTTCTGTCAGTACTTTTCTGTGTGAGTGAACGTACAAGTATTATATTTAACTTATACTCGCATTCAAACATTTTGTTCTATTTATTAAGTAGCATCGAGACTTCTGTAGAAACACTTTTCTAACTGATTTCATAAGAGTTACAGTCTGATATTTTCAATAAAGTTCTTTTTCGTATACGTTAAAAAACTCGATTTTCTATTAAAACAATCAATAAATTCATATGGCATACTCTTTTTATAAAAGTTTTTCAGAACAGTCTTAGAAAAAAAAGCCAGAGGAATGCATTCATATTAGTTTTGATGTGCCTGCATCGTTTCTTTCCAACGATGAAAATAATTTATCATCACAAAAGTTTTTTATTTTCCTTTCTTGCCTATTTTACAACATTGATTATATGCATCATTGTGAAAGTTCGTACGAATATATAGGTAATAAATCCCAAAGATCAAAAGAAGATGAATATAAAAGGAAAAGACATGTCTTTTACTGCGAAATCTACGGCTATACATAGCTCACAATAAGATGGTGAAATGGATGAGAAGATGTCACCAGACTATGACGTAACAAGATAATGCAATGACCAGTATGTAGACAAAAAGAAGTGAAAAAGGATTACGAGAGTGGACAATGATCACTCCGTGACGATCATATAAATGTTCAACAAAGAAAATGAAACGATAATCTGAAAGGAATAAAAACAACCAAATGCTGACGATATTTTGAGATACATTCTGCAATATGAAGTATTTGACAGATAAGTATAACTTGTATATTCATGTCCCGGTTATCAATAAAACCAATTCTTTAACCAAGATGGTTATCTTGGGTATTTCTCAATATGGCAGGCGTTAAAAAGGGAGATAGTTTATTTAGTTCATATACATTGGGAGTTGATACTTCAAAAAGAAATTTTCCACTTATATTAATAATTTCACTAGAACTATTTTTTTCATTATCTACAGTGTTTTTTTAGATTCAAAACAACTAAGTAATGGCTTCGGAAATTAGTGATTTATTTAAAACGGTTGATGATAAGATTATTAATGGAGCAAACAATACCATTCCAGTTAATGATATAAATAACTTATTTAGAACAATTGCACATTTGATCTCAGATAAAGAACCTGATTTAAAGAGAGATTATTATAATCGTGTTAAACATGAATTTCATATGAAAAAATCAAGTTTTTTAAGATTAATTGGAAAAATAGATGAAGCAGTTAAAGAAGAAGAACTTGTTGGTCGATATGAAGAGGAATTACCATCAAGTCGACAAGACATAATCGATGATAGTAATGATAATTGTGTATTAGCATCTTGTTCTACAACTTTACAAACATTACCTGAATCGGATTTTGAAAAAATCAAAACTGATGTTTTAGATATGTGGAATCAATTAAAAGATTACATAAAAGATTGCCAATTAGGTTCTACAGTTAATGATTTAGATGATTTAATTAATATTTTTAATGTCAGCGAAGTTAATCTATTTGATCAATACATGAAATTAGAAGAATTATCGTCAAAAATACGATTTATTTTAAATCTTTTAAAAAGTCAGATATTTTCGAGTGATAATAAATCCGACAAAACAATTAAATCAAATGTACAACTCTCCAATACATGGAATGATGAATTACTTAAATTTATTGTAAAACTTGATTTAATTGTTTTTAATTGTCTTTATGAATATCGATGCAATTTCGGACAATTTCTTTTATCACAAAAGCATAGACTAAATGACTTTTTATTTGATAATATTCCATTTACTGAAGAACGTATTAATGCACATGCTAGAAAATTAGCTGGTTTATTTCATCCTGATAAAATTCAACGTCCTCAAGATATTGCAAATTTTCGTGAATTATTTGAATGTATTATTATTGTAAGGAATAATTTTCTAAACGATTTAACACAACGTGCAACTATTAATGGTTTAGTAGCTATGCATAAAGAAAAAGGATATGAATTCTGGATAATTGCAAGAGATTATAGTCGAGCAAAAAATGAAAAATGGGATGAATTATGTCATTTTAAAGAAGATCAGTTAAAACAATTTACTAAAAATGAATTATTAACTCATCAGAAACAATTTGCATTATGTGCATATGAAGAATACCGTGCAGCAGCTTTAGCATTAGGTGATCATGGAAATATTGAAGAACGTTCCGAGTTAAGAAGACTAATGGCAATAGCACTTTATACAGCTGAGAGATATTTACCGGCACAGACTTATGTTATTGCAGCGATGCATATTTTATTGAATGATATTCCATCAGATAATTATTCAAAAAAATTTGATGAATTAAAAGAATTATTAAATAAAGTATCACAAAATACTTCATCGACGAAGACATCGAATGGTAATTCTAAAGCAATAATAAATCAAACGACTACAGATAGATCTATTATTGCTAACAATCAATCTACACACACATTAATTCAAAAAAGAGCATATCTTAAAGATGAATTAAAATCCATTGTACTTCAACAATGTTTATTTAGAAGTGAAGAAAAAGAAATAAAAACATCTGAAGAATTAATACTTCATGCCAAACGACAAGCTTTTAAACACAAGAACAAAGGTATTATATTAGGAGCAAGTGGTGTTGCTGTGGGTTCAAGTATGCTTGTATCGACATATAATAGTATTATAATAGGTGCTGAATTTGGGGCAACATTTGGTCCACTAGGTATTGTGGTTGGTATAATTGCCGGAGTAAGCGTTGGAGCTGGTAGTCTCCTTCTAGGGCATAACCTTATAAAGCAAAGTCAAGAGCAATTTAAAGAACCAAGAATTCGAGAAAATTTAAATAAAATATTTAATCAAGCATTAGAATATTACAAAGAAGGAAATTATACCGGTTTCTTGGAATTATTAGCTACAAAGTATTCAAAAGATCGTTCATTGTTAACAATTAAAATTGATGAACAAGAACATGAAATAAGAGTAGAAGTAAAGGCAAAAGAAATTGTTAAAATATTATTAAAACATGATTTTCGTCCAGATGGTACTGCTTATCTATTGATTTTAATTGGCGAAGCTCTTTTAAAAAGACCACAATTTCGAAAAGACAAAACTAATTTTTGTCAGCCAACACAATCACTTTTAAATGAATATGCAAGCCAGTTATTTTCGGAAGTTTTTCAAGCAACATCGTTATTACAAGTTAAAGCTAAAGAATTAGACGACAAAGTAAAAAAGAAACAATTAGAACGTGCTGAAGCCAGGACAGCTATTCTATCTAATTATTGGTGGGAAATTATGGCACTTCATTCATCATATACAGATTCCATTCCAAAAGAATATTTCTCAGACGCACTTAACACACCATTTAGCAGTCGTCTTGAGGAATTAGGTATGATAGCACGTTTAAATTGTGCAATTGTACAAATAATTATTGGTAGTTCTGATAATTTAAAAAGAACTAGTTCATATATTATATCATGAAAATAAGATCAAAGCTATATAAGATACTTTGATACAATATCATCGATTTTAATGAATCATAATTTTATTGTGTCGGTACGATATCTAACTGTTACAGGTTTAAAGATTTTTAGAGCATCATACATATATACTATAATACTTTCTTCATCAGAAATACTTCATTGTAAAATATCTTGTGATGATATACTCCCAATAAAGTTGAACAAACATTATTAAAAATGAAGAAAAACTACGTTTATAGATATTCAAATTTTTTGTGTCGTATTGGTCTGACTTGAATAACTAGTTTAAATATAGCTGTGCTTCTTAACACTAAGGAAAACCTCTCTAGTCAAAGAGACACAAACAATCAGATTGCATTTATCTCAAATCAAAGTTAGTAGATAGCATAGTTGTTTTCTTCATACGCCTCCTTCTATGCCGTTTTAGTATTTAAGATTCTATAAAAATCATGCTGATAGTGTCCCTGTTAAATAGTTCTCCTGGTCAAGTAGACAGACTATGTATGAGAATAATGCTAATAAAAATCCACTCTTCTATCATAAACTCCCATCGCTGTTTGAGTGTCCCATACGTGTAGTAATTTCACAGAATAGTAGTACAGAAAAAGAATGATGTCATATTTGAAATGCTGAGAAAAAGTCAAGAAATGATCTTAACTGTAAAACAACGACGAGCAACATCAGCGAACAATCAATTTTTTATCATATCTGAAACACTTGAACAAGCACTCGATGATCTTCTATTAGCTTTTGGTTATTCACCTTTATCAAATGTAAATCATGAATTATTAACATTAGAAAATCATATTTTACTTGAAAATATAAAAAAGGTGCAAATAAATGGAATACTTATTAACTGTCATTGTGTTAAAGCTGTAGCTAATGCTTCAAAATTCTTTACTGATCTCTCTGAATTATCATTTGATGAACAGAAAATTATTATTAATCAAGAAAATTTTGTTTCAAAAGTAAAAGATATTTATGAAAAGAATAATGATTCGACGTTAAAATTAGCTATTGAAATGATTATGAAAAATGATATTAATGATAATAGTATCTTTAATTGGGAAGTTTGTCATGCATACGCTCAAAATTGGGCTTTATCTACAATTCATTTACCTTTATTATCAAAAATATACAATGTTACAATTCATTCATGTACTATAATACAACATTCAACAGAGGGACGTATATTTATGACAAAGGAAAAGATACCTATTGAATATGATACTCAACGTGTATTTGTAGTATTAAATAATGATCAACAACAACACATAATTGGATTATTTACTTCATGTGAATTACGATTAAATTATCTTTACAATCAATTAAATTTATCAGATAGTAACGAAGTTAAAATCGATATATATCATCAGATAGCTTTGAATCATCGTTTAAAAGCTGAACATAATGAAAAAATTCATCATTTAAAAGCATTACGAAGTTGGCATTCGGCAATGGAAAATTATTCTGAAATATTAGCTTTAAGTAATACTAATGATTTACAAGCAGCATTAGGATATGGACGATGTTTAATTATGCTTAGTAAATTTATACGTGCAATTAAATTTTTATCTGAAACAATTGAAACACATCAAAAATCAATAACAGCTGAAGGATGGTATTTATTAGGTGTAGCAAAACGAAAACGTTATCTTTACAAAGAAGCAAAATATGCTATAAAAGTAGCATTACGACTTGATCAAAATTATGCTGATGCTAAAAGTGAACTTCAAATAATTGATTGTTTACAAGATCAAACAATGGAAAAACATTTAAAAATTTATAAGAATATGACAACTACATATTCTAAACAATGTCGTACTGATTCATATAATATTTTGTCGATTGATGGTGGTGGTGTTCGAGGTATAATGCCAGCTGTATTAATATCAGAAATTGAACGTAGAACAAATCGATCTGCTGCATCTTTATTTCATTCAATGGCAGGTACATCAACAGGAGCTATTATTGCTGCTGGCTTATCAACTCCTGAGTTTAGCATAGATGAACCTGTAAAACCTCGTTATAAATCTTCTGATATTGTTCAACTATATCATGAACATTCATCAGAAGTTTTCAAACAATCACCGAGTCTAATTTACAATTTCAGACGACCAATTACACAAGAATCAAAATATATTGATGAAGGCCGATACGAATTATTTAGACGTTATTTTTGTGATACAAAAATATCAAATGCATTGACTGATCTCATCATACCGGCTGTTCGACATGATTCAAAATCAACACATATATTTAATACATACACTAGTTTATGTGATAAAAAGGAAGATTACAAACTATATGATATACTTATGTGTACAACAGCTGCTCCAACATATTTTCAACCATATAAACTTGGTTCTAAATCATATGTTGATGGTGGTGTTCAGATGAATAATCCAGCTATGGCTGCATATACACAAGCGAAAAGTGGCAATACATCACAAGAAAATATTTTTATTTTATCACTTGGGACTGGTGATTATATACCTGATCCAATTAAACCAGATGCTTATCGCCATTTGTTATTTTATGTTAAAAATAGTCGAGAAGTTTTAAATATAGTGTTTGATGGACCACAATCAAATACAGATTTGCATTTATTGCATATAATGGAAAAAGATAAATATTGTCGCTGGCAAATGTGGCTTGAAGAACCAATAGAATTAGATGACTGCCAGGAAACAACAATTAATTGTCTATATGATCATGCACGAGCATTTTTTGAAGAAATCGATGCATATGATAATGGTAAACGTCTTGGTTTAGTTCTCGATCGATTGAAAGGTGATGAACATTAATATATCCACAAGAATTATTTTATCATAAGTAGTTGCACAAACAAAAAACGTATTACTCCATTGTTACAAAGAACAATAATTTTATAATAGACATCCTATGTAAAAATATATAAAGTTTTTATTTTCTGTTGTCGAAACCATGTATTCTGATATTAAAAAAAAACAGAGTTATTTTTTAGCAGTAATTTTATTATTTCAATAATTTATATAAATCTAATATTGTATCTATAACAATTATAACTACGAACAAAAAAAAAGAAAATTTTATTTAATATATTCTGCTAATTCGAGAACAACACTTGGTCGTTGTATATTTACTATTGGATCAAATCCATATGTCATTAGATAATCACCAGATAATGATTGTTCAGAAATAATTGTCGATGGATCAGTATCTGGATAAATATTAATTTCTTGAATAGTATATATCTTTGTTGAATTAAGTCCTTTTAATCGAATAGCACCATTACTACCAGCTAAGTATCGATGACCAACTAAATAAGTAAACCAAATAGCTTTATCTTGATTTTCATTGACATACATTAAAGATGCTATATCACGCTTTAGACGATATGGAGAAACTAATCGATATTGTTCACCATGCCATATAATATCTTTTAAACGATTATAAGTCAGAAGTACATCTTGACTAAATTTCAGTTCATTTTCATTAAATTTGCTTACAACAATATCATATCCTAATTTTCCCATCATACTTACATCTGTTCGAAATTTTAATGATTGTTTACCCCAATCAGTTATATGATTACAAGATGTAATTGCTGGAAAAAAATATGAATAATTCCATTGTATAAACACTCGTTCAACACCATCAGTATTATCACTTGGCCAAAATTCAGTAAAATATTTTAACATACCATAATCAATTCGTCCACCACCACCTGAACATAACATAATTGGTACTGAAGGATATTTTTGTCGTAATCGATCTAGAACATCGTATAAACCATGAACATAATCAACATATAGATGAGATTGATGTGAATTTGTTGTTGAATATGCATTATAAATAGGTGAATTACAATCCCATTTAATATAAGCTAATGTTGGATGTTCAGTAAATAATTGATCCACAATATTATAAACAAATTCTTGAACATCTTTATTTGACATATCAAGTACAAGTTGATTACGATAATAATATGCTGATCGATTTGGTAATTTAATAACCCAATCAGGATGATTTTCATAAAGTTCACTTTTTGGATTGATCATTTCTGGTTCAATCCAAATACCAAATTTCATCCCAATAGTTTCTGCTTGATTAATTAAATAACCAATACCATGTGGTAATTTTTGAATATTTTCTTGCCAATCACCTAAACCAGCACTATCATTATCTCTAGGATATTTATTACCAAACCAACCATCATCAAGAAGAAATAAATCAACACCTAATTTTTTTCCATCTTGAATTAATGTTGTTAATATTTGTTCATCAAAATTAAAATAAGTTGCTTCCCAATTATTCAATAATGTTAATCGGTCACCTTCACCGTCTATTATACGATATTTTCTTGCCCATCGATGCCAATTTCGACTTAGTACATTTAATCCTTGATAAGAATATTGGAAAAGAAAACTAGGTGTAATAAATTCTTTATTTGGAATTAAAAAATATTCGGATGCATATGGATTAATACCAGTAATAAGACGTAAATTTTGAAGTGGATCAATTTCAAATTGTATTTGATAATTACCTGTCCATGCAAGTGTACCAGCAAATATTTCACCAATATCTTCATTATCATGATTCAATGGTTGATTTAATGATAAAAGAAATGATGGTGATTGAAATAGATCTGCTCGTGTTCCTAATTTTGTATCTAATATTTTAATACCTGACGTAAGTTGAATTTCTTCTGGAATCATTTCTCGTGCCCAATCACCATGAAAATGTGTAAGATAATATTTATGAAATGAACTAAAATATAAATTAGCTGAACTATATTTTTGTAAACGTACAATATCATCTTCTGAATGTTTAATACTTGTCCATTGTTCAATAATATTTTCATTATAAAAAGCTTTATAGTAAAGAATAACTTCAAATGGATAAACAGAATCTTTTAAATAAATTGTTGTTAATATTATTTCGTTCGATTGATTATTTTTATCTTGTTGATGTGATACATATTTTAATTCTAAAGATGGATTTCCATCAGCATGAATAACTTGTATAGCAGGTTCGAGTAAATTACGTGTGCCACTCGGTGTATAAACGGAACTATATAAACCGGTATAATCACCATTCAATTGTTTAGCATCAAAACTTGGAATATATGCATATTCTTCATTATTACAAAGTCGTTTTCCAATATAGATTAATAATGGATCACGATTTTGATTGATTCGTATAACAAGTGCTGTCGATTCAGTTTCAATCGATATGTGAATTATATCATCTTGATTGGCTAAAAAGAAAATTATTCATTAGATTTTAGTTTTTCATGGTTGTCATTCAAAAAATCGTACTAATAGTCACTTATATTATAAAGTAGAACTAATTTTGAAAAAAATTATATAAGCAATTCAAATAAAAATGTATGGTTTAAAAAGCATGAAATATTTTCTATTATCAATAGATGAACTAAGAAGAATGTATATCTTATTCTTCTATCTAAAATTATGTAAAGCGATTCAATTCTTTTTTTGTATGACCGTTACACTTAAATATCTCTAGTCATTTTGTTCTGAATGTAAACTGAACTATATGTTACATGAAGACAGTAAACAAGACATGTCTTTTCTCTAATTAACAAAAAAATAGTCTATATCGATCGATTGAAAAGTGTATAACAAAAAAATAAATTACCAGTCATGATTTAATTATTGAACAAATTATTTAGTACAATGATGAGCCCTTACTAGAAGACAAACAAAATATAATGATTGGGTTATCGTTTATAATCAATGAAAATATATCGAAACGAATGATGGCGGAATACGATGGATGTATCAAAACTTTTTAGTATATCAGATAATGAATAAACCTTTATCTGACCGCTTAGTACAAATCTTGAAGAACCAGTATAGTTTCTTTCATCATTTTATCTGACATTGAAATATTTATCATTTCTTTCATAGCTATTCATTTCATAAACAATAATAAGACTACAAATTTCATACGAAAAATGATCGAATATATTTAGCTAAATGAAGAAAATGTTGTGTAATTAATATAACACTTTTTTTCACAGAACTATTGAATTCCGTTTTGTTTGTAAGAAGTATGCTAATATTACAACTGCTTGTAAAGTAGAAGATGTAATATTTGAGTTTATTTTTTGTTCTAGAAAAAGAGGATTATTTTAGACTGATCGACTGACGTTTTATCACGATATTGTCTCAGTGATAACAAATTGTAATACATTCTTTACATTACTCTCTGTTGGAATTTTGTATTATTTTTGAAACTAGAATCATACGAACATATCTTCATGTAAGAGTCGGTAATAAAAAAAACGTATTGTCAACCTATTTTATTAATAATAGTTAAACTTGTATTCTTCTTCTTCTATTTAGAATAACGAATAAACGTTACGTTTGTGAAGACGATTATTTTTATTACATATATATATTTTATCGATAGGTGTCGTTAGCAATCGTCAATTACCTTCTAACGGCTTCCTTATACGCTGATCGGTCAATTTTTTTTCTTTCCTGTTTGACAATCTGTGTGTATGACTGACTGACTTATTTCTTCTATATTGTAAACAAACAACAAGCAACAAAGAGATGATCCATCTTATCTTGAGAATTTTCAGTGTATTTACGTGTTAGTGTACGTGAGTGCGTGTCTATGTATATTAATGGCTTGTTGTTCTTATTTAATATAATTGTATTAAAAAGAAAATAATGCTTGAAAATCTTACTGATGATGTTGAGTCTCGTTTAAACGAGCTCGAACGTTTATTATTTAATTCATCAATAAAAGATCAAACTGTATTAGGTGTTGAAGCATTACTTGATGCGTTTATTGTACTTTATGATGAATGTTGTAGTTCAACATTACGAAGAGAAAAAACAATTGCTGAATTTATCGAACATGGTTAGTAAATATTATTTTAGTTAAGATTACAAAAAAAATATTATTTTTTCATATAGCTAAATCATTTGTTACACGTGTAAAACGATGTCGATTAAGTCGAAACGATTTCGAAACAATTAAAATTATTGGTCGTGGAGCTTTTGGCGAAGGTAAATAAATTAATTAGTGAAATGTCTTGTTTTTTTCTTATCTTTAAAATCTATATATATATATAGTTGCCGTTGTCAAGCTAAAAAATTCCGATCGAGTATTTGCTATGAAAACATTGAACAAATGGGAAATGTTAAAACGAGCTGATACAGCTTGTTTCCGTGAAGAACGTGATGTACTTGTCTTTGGTGATCCACATTGGTTAACAAAATTGCATTATGCATTTCAAGATGGAGAAAATTTAGTAAGAGAATAAAATTTTATTTATCAATAAAACAAATTTTGTTTACTTTAGTATTTTATTATGGATTATTATTTTGGTGGTGATCTTCTTACATTATTATCCAAATTTAATGATCATTTTTCGGAAGAAATGACAAGATTTTATGTTGCAGAAATGGTCTTAGCAATTGATTCACTTCATAAACTTGGTTATGTTCATCGAGATATCAAGTAGAATATTGTTTTTGCTAAATTTAAGTTTATTAATCAATTATTTTAGACCCGATAATGTATTACTTGATGGAGAAGGACATATTCGTTTAGCTGATTTTGGTAAGTGATTTAAAGTAGTTAAATTATTTATTATAAGAAAGATTTGTTGTATAATTTAAGGTTCCTGTTTACGAATGCGAGCTGATGGTACAGTACAAAGCAATGTTGCTGTTGGTACTCCAGATTATATTTCACCCGAAATTTTACGTGCGATGGAAGCAGGCCAAGGTCGTTATGGTCCAGAATGTGACTGGTGGAGTTTAGGATGTGCTATGTGGGAAATGTTATTTGGTTTACCACCATTTTATGCTGAAAGTCTACTTGAAACATATGGAAAAATAATGATGCATGTGCAAAAAGAAGTTTGTTTTGTTTTCGAATGATTAATGAATAAATTGTTATTTGTATATCTATAGCTTCCACTGCCATTTCCAAGTGATAATGAAGTATCGGATAGTGCGAAAGATTTATTACAACATCTTCTTTGTTCAATTGATAATCGTCTAGGAAAAAATGGTTTAGATGATTTTATAAATCATCCATTTTTTATCTCAATTGATTGGGAAAATCTTCGATTAGGTTTGTTTTTTAATCAAAACAAAAAAAAGAAACAATGAATTTCATGATGGATTTTCTTATTTTTAGCTACAGCTCCATATATTCCTGTTGTTAATAGTCCGAGTGATACATCAAATTTTGATGTTGATGATCTTGAACCATCGAATAAAGTACGTAAATAAAGATTTTGTTTTTATACTATACAATTTAATTATTTTCCTATTTTATTTTATTAAGAATATTAAAAAGGTAAAACACATTTGTCTAGAGATTATTTGATGTGTTTGTAGCTTTTCTTTATATGCTTTAATTATATTTATTAAATTTTATAATTAAATTCTTTCTATTATTATTATTATTATAGGATGTCGTTCCTCCTGTTTCTCAAGCAGCATTCACTGGACATCATTTACCTTTTATTGGTTTTACTCATTCGGCGAATACGTAAATAAATTTCATTGTTTTTTTCTAGACTAAAAAAAAAGAAATCTTTATTTTTAGTCGCTATTCTGATGGTGCTAAAACATTACTCATACCTGCCAATACAACAGTAATTGTACCTAACCCTCCATCGCATTCGCCTGATGTTTGTGATTCTCAAACAAATCATAATCAAAATTCAGAATATGAAGAATTAATAAATTCCATGAAACTTCAACATACATCATTACTTGATGAATTAAAACGTTTACGTGAAGTCTATGAACAAACAAAATCGGATTCTGTTGAACAAACTCGTCAAATAAAATCACTTGAAGATTCAAATAAAAATCAATATGAATTGTTAACTAGTGAACAAATTGAATATTTAATAAAAATTTTCAATTTATTTCAAAATCTTCGTGGTTCAAATGAAAATATTCTAAGTGAACAACAAAATTCATTTTCATTAGATGAAATTAAAAATCAAATCAATCAACAATTAAATTATTTTTCTACAATTGAAAAAAATCTTTTATTAAATCATAATCATCAAAATGATGATAAACAAATTATATCGAAATCTCAATCACAAAATCTTTCAATGTTTTTAACAAAATTTGAACAAAAATTTACATTTTTATTAAATAATAATTCATTAAATGAATTAGATGAAACAATTGAAAATGATAATGATGATGAATTAGATTTAATAACAACCGAAGATATATTATTAAAAAAATTTTCATCATTTTTAAATGATATTTATGAAAAATTTAAAATTATTTTAAGAGAAAAAAATGAACTTGATGAAAAATTTCTTTTCTTAGAAGAAAAACGTTTAACTTATTCAAGATGGGAAACACAAATGTATGATATACTTAAATGGATAAATGAAGAGAAAAGTGCAAGATCACATTTAAAAGGTTTAGCTAATAAAATGGCTGAAGAACTTGATCAGATACGTGAAACAACAAGTCCTTTATTAAATATGGGAAGCACTTCATCATCAATGAATACAACTGGAACAAGTCTTGGACATAATACGGTTAGTTAAACAAAAAAAAACGTTCTACAATAAAGATAGAATTATTGTCTGTTTTTCCCCCTAAAGAGAAATGTGTTTATTAAGATTAATAGAAAGGGTAATTGAATATATATAACCTTTGTATTTAGATTCTTTTATCATTCGAAAAAATAACCTTTAAAAAAAGTCATTTAAGTTGATCTTTTACTATATTAATAGTATTTACTATTGATATACTCATTGAATTAATTAACTATTTTAAATATAAAAAATTTCAAAAATATTAATATCAATTGAATATGTGTTTGTCTTGTTAATCCTATTGCTATAATGCAAGAAAATAATAGACTATAATCAGGAAGTGTACTGTATCGTTATTCAATAGTTTAGATGAGGAATATTAAAAGATTGATTAAAGATTTAATATTGATCTTGAAATAAATTTCATAGAGTTTTACAAATTAAACATAAAATGTATTCTAGGCTTGGAAACATGGCCGATCAGTTAAATTAAAACATATGGAAATTCAACAATTACAAACATCATTACAAAAAGAAATTGATGCTAAACAACGAATACATGAAGAACTTAAAGAATCTCAAGCTGAGAATATTCTTAAAGCTGAGTATGTTTCGAATATTATTTATTAATATTTACTGTTTTTTTCAAATTAAATAGAGAAAATCTTCGTTTAAAAGAAGAAATTGAAAAACTTCAAAAGCAAGTAACTTATGAACAATCAAAACAAACAGTTAAATCACCTGTTGTTCATAGTGTTTCCGGTAAATATTTCGAAATGAAATAAAAAAACTTTTATTTTTATTCATTATTTTTCATTAGATGAATTATCAACATTGAATAATAATAATTCGATTGATCGATTTCTACGAAATGTTACTGCTGGATTATCAGATCCACCGGCATTAGTAAGTTTATTTATTTTTCATTCAAATATTCATTTTATTTTTTTTTAATTAATTATAGATAAATGATACAAGTACTGATTTATCTGGTACATTCGATGATGGAAGTAGTGGTGGTGATGATTCATCACGTACAATGTCTGGATCAAATATTAAATCTCAAACAATACGTCCATTAATTCCACTTCGAGTAATATTCAAATATTTATTTACTTCATTTTTCTTTCGAAATTATTCGTTTACTTAATGTCTAGTCTTTATGCATAAATATCTCATTAGTTCCGCTAATATTTTATACTTCTGAGAGTCATAAGAATGAATATATAGTTTATGCATGAGAAATATCAAATTTTCCATAGCTTAACACATTTGACCTACTTTATTTTACTACGAAATTCAATGGAACAACATGTTTTTCTTTGTCAGAAGTCGTACGCAATGTGTCATCTGTTATTATTTAATTATTTATTACATAGTATGGTGCATCTCATTAAACTAATCAAAACCATACAACTACTCATAATTACCTTTTCTTGATTTTATATTAAGAAGTAATGTGAGCTATTCTAAAACTCTAATCGTTTCCGTATATAAAAGGATAGAAATTTCATTCTCTTCTCTTATATATACTATCTATCATATATCAAAGAACGCGACACCAACGTGAGAGATCCTTCACATGATCGTTAGAAATAACTAATCGTATGGTGACACAAGAAAGAGAGTGATAAATAATTAGTAGTAGATAATAAAAAGTTAACTATCCATAGATATGCATAGTTTTCAAGAAATTTTATAAAAAAAATTGAATCGTGACAAATGTGTTAACTAAAATAAATTCTAAAGGATCAATATCGAATTTTAAACGAATCTAGAAATCAGTTGATAATTCCGATCTTCTGCTATTAAAATATATCTGATTAATTTTTAGAATGATTTACACGATTTTATGATTGCAAATTTTCATGTAACAGCTATGTGTGATGATTGTCAAAATGCATTAATTGGAATTGTTCGGCAAGGTTTTGTTTGTCAACGTAAGAAATTTAAAAAATAGAAATGAAATTTTACTAATAAAACTCGTGATTTTTAGGTTGTAAATTAATCTGTCATCCAGATTGTATGGAAAAAATATCTGCACCATGTCGACCATCGATCAAAGATCGAAGTATTTTAATCTATTAATTGAGTTTTGTTTTGTTTTTATTTTCAATTATTTTAGGTCGAACTATTCTACTTGATCAACATATTGTTCGAGTATGTTTTTTTCTTTTTGATAAAATTTCATTTTTTTATAAATTTCTTTTTTATAGATTCCAAAAGCAGGAGGAATAAAAAAAGGTTGGAGTAAATATCAATTATTAAATTTACAAACAAAATTATTATTCTACGAATTATCATCTGATAAAGATCAAAAAATAACTTGGCCACAGCCAGCGTTTATACTTGATCTTACAGATGATGAATTTCTTGTTTCTTCTGTAACATCATCTGATGCATATCATGCAAATAAAAAAGATGTTTCAAGCATTTTTAAAGTTTGTTATATTGGTTTTATCTCATTCGTTTTTTTTCTCATCATAAATAATTTAGATCAGTATATTAAAATTATCATCACCAAAACAATTTCAGCATACATTACTATTAACAAATAATGAATCAGAAAAAGTTCAATATGTTAATATGTTAACAGATCTATCAGCTAAAGTTAAAATTCTTAAACAAAATGGAACTACTGTAAGAAATTAAATGTTTTGATTTTGAATGAGTGAATAATAATTTGATTTTTTTTTGTAGCGTGGTGCTAATTTTATTGCCAAAGAACTATTTGATGCATCGAAATGTTCAAGTTTAAAAGAAGCAATAGCTGCTGTTATTCTTGGTAATTAATAAGAAGAAGATTTTGCAATATGTGCATTCGATCTAAGTTAATATTTTCACTGTAATGTTTTTGTTTAGATCAAGATCGTGTAATGATTTGTGGTGAAGATGGTCTTTATTTACTTGATATTTCAAAAGATAGTATGTTTTGTTTAATTTTATTAATTATTCAATAACTTTTTTTTTGTTTAAAATTTTAGCATCAACAAAATTAAGTGATAAAAAAGTTCATCAATTATCATTAATATCTAATGGTGATTTATTAGTAACATTAGCTGGCAAACAACGTACAATACGTCTTCAATCACTTAAAACATTACTTGAACATCCATTATCATCATTAGATAGTAAAATGATTGAAACAAAAAATGCTACAACATTTACAGTACATTCAACATCATTAATATTATGTGTTGCTATTAAAAATCGTATTCTTATTTATCAATTATTTTCTACACCAAAACCATATCATTATTCATATATGCGAGAATTAAATATTATACAAAATGTAACATATTTAGAAATTTTAACTATTAATATAAATCAATGTGAACAACAAATTCTATGGTATGGATATCCATCAACATTTATTGCACAAAGATTAGATCAACAATCATCAAGTGTATCATTATTAAGAGATGAAGATCCAACATTACAATTCTTTCGTGATAGACCAATTGAAGCATTACGTGTTGTACCTGTCACAAGTAAGTCCCTGAGAAAAAGTTGACGCTAAAATAACTTCGATCATCACTATGAAGATCTTGTTCTAGTTTAAAATTTACCATCATAGCGTCCTATACTATATATTTCTTTATAGATTCTTCATCAATCAATGAACTTCTACTCGTATTTCGTGAATTAGGAATTTATGTAAGTTCTAGTACAGGAATGCGAACACGTCATAGAGAATTAATGTGGACTGCATTACCAATATCAACTGCTTTTTCTGATCCATATTTACTTATTTACACTGAAAAATCTGTTGATATCTATGATGTACCATCAGCAATGTGGTTACAATCATTACCATTATCACGTACACGTTCTTTAATATCCGATGGTTCGATTTGTTTATCCAATGATCCTGAACTTCTTAATCATCATCCAAAATTGCTTTATTTAAATCAAAAAACGAACTTAAATCCGTCACTTAATGTTCCTGAACGAGCATCATCAAAAAGTTTAGCTGCACGCGGTGGAAGATTTCGTGTTGGTGGTGGTGGTGTTAGTAGTACAATCAAATCTACAACAGCAGCGTCTATTGCACCCATATCAGGACCAAAAGATTTTACACATATATCACATTTAGGTAAAGGTGAAGGTTTACAAATTATATCAGGTTTAAAACAAGTTAGTCCAACAAATACTCTTGCATCAATCAATCATGGAACTAGTGGAACTATTCTAAATAATAATACTAATAATAATAATAATCGTCGATCACTTATATCAGGTCCTCAAAATTTTGTTCATTTAACGTATGTTTAGCAATCGTGCTTCTTTTCTTTCGAATAAAAATCTATTTTGTTTTATTTTCAAAGACATATTGGTCCATCAGATATTTCAACATTTGCATCCGATTTATCAACAACAAATACAACAACAAATAAAGCTGTTATATCAGCACCAATGAACTTTCGTCATCAAGTACATATTGGACATAATGATGAAATAGATCAAATCAATAAAAAATCAGGTACACATGAACAACAGACGAACAGTGTTAAACAACAACAAGTGACTAGTAGTGGAAATTCAACATTATCATCACAATCCCTATCATTTAAAGATGATGATGATGAAGATGATAGTGATCGACCTCTTGAATGATGATCTTATTTGTATTGAGAATGAAAGACAAGAAGATTATTCTTTGTTTTCTTTTTCTCTTGTCAGTTAAATTCATTCATCACGAACAATTAAATAATCTTCTTCTTCTTCTTTTTTTTGTATTATCCTATTTCGCGTGCAATTTTTTTACTCCTGTTTTTTTTGCTGTGTGGTGACCCACTTTTTTTTGGTGCCTTTTTTTTCTATTTCTTTATGCACACACACACACACACATTCATATATATATATATAAGATAAAATTTTTTTTCTCCGTTACACCTGTTATCGTCATTATTCTTATTCTTTATTAATGCTAAATCTGTACGAAGTGAATGAACGAATGTATATGGAAAAAGCCGTTATTGACTTTTTTTTCTTCTTTTCTTTTTTTCCTTTGAAGTAATAGTCTTCTGCTAAAAATGTGCTTGTTATTTGATTGAATCATTAATGCTAAATGTACAGACATTTAAAATTTAACACTTTAGTTTCACTATAAGTTTAGAATCATTCTAATTGTCTAAATATAATAAGACGGTATAGAAAAATCATCAGAATATCATTCTTAATTAATATTAGAAGGATCTCCGAACAAAATATCTGACGATCAACCATCTTTCGAAAATAAAAAATATTTTGAATCAGAAGTATCATTCTTCTAATACAAATTTCAATGAAAGAATCGATCTATTTCACTCAACTATTCTTATTGATGATCATATAAAAGCAATTCTTTATTTTCTTTTATGTAGTTGTATTACTGCTTAAGATAAATGACTGCAGAAAAAATAAAGTAAATGTTGCTTACTTATAGTTGACAATGTCATCCATCTAAGAAAATATATTTAATATAACGTGAGACTTTTAAATCAAAATTATTTCAAATAGATATTATTATAATAATAGAAGTTGAGTACAGTTTAAAAATTATTGTAATTGAAAACGTGAATTAAATTCTAGAATAATTGAGTGCAAAAACCTAATATTACGACTCATGATCAAGATTTAGTAACTTTATAGAATATTGACGGCAAAATAGAAAGAGATTTTCATTCAAAGAAATCTGAATCATATATTTTATATTCGTCCTAAAGCGAATATCGATCGAATGATGTCTATAATGATCCTGTTATTTATTTCATGAATAACTAATGATGAAATATTTTAACTAAAAAATTACTGAATTTTCTTTCATTCATGCAACATCATCTTTTGAATAAATTGTGTATGATACTTTTCAGTTAATATTTCAAGCCTTAAAAATATATTGATCTCATGGAAGCAGTCTTTTTAAGTGCAACTCATTATGATTAAATGGGTCATTAATTCATTTTTCTACGAAACATATCTAATATGAAACTGCAATATTCTACTTGTAGACAATATAACGTTTAAATTACATTGAAGGAGAGATATTTGATTATTTAATAGCTGTTTTAATAAAAATAACTATAATATTTATTTAACCTTTTTTTTTATATTTATAAAACATGTATATTATATAAATTAAAGCAAGAATATCGCAGTTGTGTATTTATGTTGGTTGTCGATTCATTTATTGACTAGCAGTGTTATTTGTAAATATTTGCTTTATCTTTCTTCACCTTTCTATATTTTTCTTTTCGAACTTTGTCACATGTTATATTGCCTCGTATTTTCTTTCTTATTCTTGACATGAA